GTAACTATTAAAAAGAAGATACCATAGAACAGAGATTTTTTTGTAAATCCAGTGTAAACATGGTAAACTTTTTTTAAATAATTTATTTTTAAATTAAACTAGAGTGTTCTGTATTATCCTCATTGGAAAAAAAAAAAAGCTCTGGCAACTTTATTCTTTGAAATGCTGGAATGACCCAAAGGCTTGGAATTGAGATTTGATGTTGGCAGGAAAGTGGCCTGCCCCTTGAGCATGTGCTTTTTGTTATTTCTGAGAAAAATCTACATATTTAACCAGGTTTTAACCCTTTTGGGCATAACTCCTGGTATGATCTCTGCTTGCTAGATTTAAACAGTAAAATCTTTGATAACTGCATTCCCTAGTTATTTCCATAACCTCTGTCCCCATGAAGTGTGTGCTGTGAGCTCCACAGAGCTGCTGGGTGTGCTCTGGCCCCTCTGTCCCCATGAAGTGTGTGCTGTGAGCTCCACAGAGCTGCTGGGTGTGCTCTGGCCCCTCTGTCCCCATGAAGTGTGTGCTGTGAGCTCCACAGAGCTGCTGGGTGTGCTCTGGCCCCTTGGAGGTCTCACTGCAGGTCCCTTTCAGTGCAGACCTGGGGGCACAGTGAATCTGGGAGTCTGCCACTGCTGTAGAAAGGGATTCAGCTGAACCCAACTGGCTCAGGAAGGCAGTCCCATTTGCTGGGGCTTGAGGATGGTAAAAAATTAGTAAAAGAAGTAACATCTTAAAACTATCACAGCTGTTACTGAAGTGTTTGAGCACAGCTGGGGAGCCCAGGTAGGGGGATTTCTTGGCACCTTGGTTAAAGACTTCCCTGCCTCGGTCTGTGCTGGAGCTCCCCTGGCAGTGCCTGTCCCAGAACAGAACCAGAGAAGTGTTGGCTCTGTGATCACTGCAGGTCATGGCTCTGTGTGTTAAAATTTAACTTTTGTTAAGTTTCCCTTGCTCAGCAGGGAACTGTAGGAGTTTTCCCCCCCCTCCAGTTTTCATTCTGAGGAATTAGCTTAAGAAAGTTATGAACCTAAATTGTAGATGTGGCTAGCATGGAAAGGTAGTGTGCAAAAGGGTGGCACTATTTGGTGGTACCAGTAATGGTTACAGAGCATTTCCAGTTACTCAGCCTTGTCACCTGCTATTAAGAGAGACATGACAGTTCTGTCTGGTTATGGTGGTTTAAAGAAATGATTCTGTTGAAAGGACTTTGCAAATCTGCTGAGTTGCAAATGTTCTGAACTGGCTTTGTCTCTGTAAGTTAGAGATTTTTCTTTACAGTATCAGCTTCATGTGTGAACAACTTAATATGAGTGACTGGTAGCTGTATAAATGAACTATTTTCAAGGATTTAGCATTAATTTTGCTCTCTGTAATTCCTCACACTCCCTGTAGTAGTTACTAGATAAGTACAAAATGTAATGACTTTGTCATTTACAATATCTGTAAGAATCCAGCTGTTTGAAAAAAAATATTTTGTTAAGAAGTAACTCACTGGGAACATCAGTTTAATGTTGACCTTTCTCAGGCCTTAATCATCTTTAATAATTAAGATTTTGGGTGACTAATTTTTATGATTGCTCTGTTTAAATATCAGGTTCCCGACTGCACTATGACTAAGCAGCCTGGGTGCAGAAAGAGTTCAGCATTCATACAAAACTAGACTGGGGATTAAATCTTGAGCAGCAAAACTCCAGTCATCTCCTGAGCACACACAAATGCACATATAAAGCTACATATGTAACTTGTAAAGGGGAATCAACAAGTAAAAATCACCTCTCACCTTGTGCTCTCTCCAGTGTGTGTTACGTAACAGATAAAATTAATGCCAATAACTGTTAGAACCACTGAGTACACAATCTTTGTTTTACTTACAGTTTGCACAGAAGTGCATATATGTGTCAAGTGCCACAAAGGAGTGAATAAGGCCCCAAAAATTTCTGCCTATTGACTCCAGATGCTTTTTATTTTATGCTTTCATTTTTATTGACAGAAACATAATATTTAGAATTAAATAATCCACATGTAAACAATTATTTTATATTGATTAGGGTTGTCTCCTGAGCCTATTGAATCTTTGCAAAGCTTATGCAATAGAAAAATATTCTCTGTAAGTCAACTACTATTTTTCTTACAGATGATTCATGCTGAGTGTGACAAAGTGGCAGAGGTACCTCTGGGATTCCAGCAAGCTCCTCAGTGTTGTGGTTATCTGCTAAAAACTCTCTCCAGTTGTGCTAAAAAGTTTCTCAGTTCCTATCAGTCTCAGGAAAATACTATTTTTCTAGTAATTCAAAATACTTTGGATAACTGACTTTCTGATAAGCCAGGGTCAGAATTAAACTCCAGTGAGTTTGCTGCATCCTTTGCATCCTGCAGCTTCCAATACCTATTGAATCCACTCCTTTTTGTAAAACATCTTTTCAGTAAACAGTGTATTTCCTGAGAGGACCAGATGATTTATAAGTTAAAAATATGAAATGACTAATACATAGCATGTTATGTAAATTTACAGTTTGTAATTTATATCAGTTGACCTGTATGGGCAATCTGTTAGAAAATTGTGACTAAATAGACAGAAAAGAAAGGGTGGAGGGGTTTCTGTGCTTTTGATTTTGTATTTTCTTTCTAAATGTTCCATTTAGTGAGTAATTATTCCACGTCCCCTCTACTCCACAACATAAATATTCTAACAGCTTGATATATACTCCAGTAAGAAGCTAAGCAGGTTTTCTGGATGTTACTGGTTGTTTATGGTAGTAAGGAACACAGCTGTATTTTAAATATGCAGAAAATATAAAGCAGAATTTCTCAGTTTAGTGGAAAAAGAAATAAATAGACAATCCCATGCATTGCTATCATAAAGCATGATTTATAAGTGAATAAAAAAAGTGTAAATGTTGAATTCCACTCTTTAAATTTTCCCTTGCAGAATGAGGTGTTTTCTTTTTTTGCATGAGAGGGAATAAAAGTGCATGAATTTAAAAAAAAAAAAAAGAAAAAAAGAAAAAATATATAGTTATTACATAGAGCAATTCCTGAGAGAGACCACAGTCTGAGCAGCTTGAGATTTTAGCCAGCTGAATTTCATTGAGAACTTGGAGAATGAGAGAAATGGCAGTTACAACATAATTTATCTTGATAACCAGAGAGAGACTCTCTTACCACATTCCCATAGTGCAAATATTTGTGTGACTGTGTTTTCTGGGTTCTTTCTTTGCCTAATCAAAATCTTTGACAGCTTTCCTGTATGCCTTTCTAATGTGCATTTCTTCTGGGCTTTTTCTAGACAGGTATTGAAGAACACGAAAGAAAAGCACAAAGGTTTTATTTCTCCTGTTTTATTTCCAGGGCTCCTCCTTGCCTTTACCTGCTGGGTTAGAAATGAGCACACTGTGAGATAATACAAATAAAGCCACAGCACATACAAAGGGTTTCAGAGAGCAGAGCTCCTAACAGAGGGGCATTATTTTGTACAAGTGATTTGGGAATATGGAAGAGGAATGAAAAGTCTTGGTTTAAACTTCTGAAGTTACTCAGGATTTTGTGGAGTGTTGAATCCAAATGTTTGATATGAAATTGTTCAAATCTAAAAGCTAGTTAAGGGACTTTGCAAAGGTGTGTCATTCTGTCAGTGATCAAATGTACAGAAGAATATATCTGATGTCAAAATGGATGAAAATTCATAATGGATATATCTGAGTTTCATAGGGCTTTCAAGAAATGAGAAAAATCAAAAACCTGGGTATGTGTGGGTTTGAATTTAACTTAAAATATGAAAATAATTTCAAGATTAAAAAAGAATCTTTGAACAGCTGTGGTGTGTCAAGGGCTTGAGTGGATAAAGGGGAAATAAGCCAACAGCAACTGAATATTTGTAAGGACTTAAAATATTATATAAATAACAGTGCCATGTCACAGAGCACAGCAGGGATGTGAGGGGCAGGTTTGGACAGTGGTCTGTGGTGGGGTTCCAGTGGAGCTCTTTCCCACAGTGTTGTGGCCCCTGGCCAGGGCAGTTGTCCTGAGTCCCCTCCTGAGGCTCAGCCAGCCCTGGAAGTGCTGCCTGGGGAGGGACACGGCTGGTCCTGGTCACAACTGCTGCTGGCACAGACCCGGGACACCTTGGAGCACAGTGTGCACACAGGAGCCATTTAAATGCTATTTATTCTCAAGAGACAAAATACTATTATAAATTCTCACTAGTAGAGAAAAAGTGCTGTGCTGGAGGCTTTTCCTCAAGCTTCTCAGGAAATACTTGGTGCTTATTTTAGCACTGAGAGGCCAACAATCATAAAACTGTGTTTTACCAAGAGGCAAGGCAGGGAAGGTAGTCAGTGTCACAAATTATCTTCTTATCAGATTCAGGTTTGCTGTCCCACAGAGCTTTTCTGAACTCCACATTTGCAAACTCCATTATAGCAATCAAAAATTCTGTTTTAGCAATCTGGAATTTGTCCCCTTCGCTTGTGAAGCCAAATGAGAAGGAATTCTCTGTATATTTCCAGTTACAACAGAACTTTTTTTTTTACAGAAGTCTTTAGAATTCTTTTAGAATTTCCTTTCTTTTGAATACTTTTTTTAGGAAATTTAGTGGATTTGTCTTTCAGGAGGGGGGCATCTTTCTTTAATTCCTACTAATATAATTGTATCAAATATAATATACTTTCAAAATAATAATGAAATGTTAGAATGGAGTAGAGAGATAGTGACAATAACAGATTGAAAAACTGTAATGCTAAAATTGTATAAGAGGCCTACTCATTATTTACAGTCAGTTTGATGTTATCAGAGATTCTCAATGCAGAAACTGTAGCAGGAAACCCAGAGCTGATTTTTACAGAACTATCTTATACATTCCTTACAATACAGTTCCCAGATATTATGAAGAACCAAAAGGGAAAAAAGAGAAAAGAAAAATGTGTTGCTGTTTGGTGGGGTTTTTTTGTTCCTTTTTTGTTTTGTTTTGGTTTGGGGGTTTTTGAGGGTGTTTTGGTTTTTTTGTTTTGGGTTTTTTTTCATGAAAGGGTGGAACTTTCCTTTCAAAAAGATGAAATGCATAATAATAATAATAATAAAATAGCAGACTTGTTGAGGCAAACACATTGAAGTCATTCAGAAAAATAACTGCATGACATCATGGGAGAAAGATAGAACCAAAAAAGGACAAGTTTTGTAGGCCAAATAGCTTCTATTCATCCCCAAAGAATTTGTCCTACACACACAAGGATGGGGAGAAAGAAAGAAAGAAATAAAACCTTCATCCTTGGAAACTCACAAAACACAAATATGTTGTCCCAGATAGAAAAGGTCAAAAAAGTAAAAAAATAAAATAAAGCCATGACTCTAATCAGGAATGCTCACTGAGAAATACTGACTTGTGCTTAAAAAAGCAGAGCTGAAAGTTCCTCCCAGTAATCCAAAGAACTTGTGAATCACTGTATGCTCTTGTTATCTTACATTTTCAGCAAACTAGTATTTGCATATAAAAGGATGATTTTTGACACATTTTTCTATCTTGATTGCTCAGAGCTGCAGGAGGAGTTTTCCACCCTTACGAATTCAGCAAGGTGATTCCCAGGCACTTGCTTGGCACTGGGAAATGTCAGAGGCACGAGCTGCTCCCCAGGCTGATCTGTGCCCTAGAGCTTGTCCTGCTCTGAGGCACATAATGGTGGTGTCTGCACTGACCCACCTAGTTCAGGAGGAAATGAAGCATTTGGGTTCAGAAGGCTTCCAGGACCAAAGCACTACATAATCTCAGGTCTTATGCCCCTTGACATATCCAGGCTACTTTGAAATAAATGCTCTGCTGAATACAATGAGGAAATCCTGCTCTTCTCCCACAGCCCTCTTTTATCTGCCCTGTTTCTTTACCTGTCCTATTATTATTTTGTGGCTTTCTGTATTTCAAGGGCATCTCTCTCTGGACAGAGATCTGCTACCTGCCCCTCTGTTGCCTCTACAGTGTCTAGTGATGGCCAGTTGTCATTCCTCCTGTTGATAGCAATTTTCACATCATGTAGTTCAATCCCCTATCTTTATTAGAAATCTTATTTGTCCTTGAACGTGCGCAATATTCATAAAAATGAATTTATTATCAAATTAACATATAAAAGTCCTTGAAACTGGTATTTTTGAAGATGTTGTTAAACTTCTGAGCTATGTTAGTCACAGCATTCTCCTTTTATCAAACAGAATGAAGGAGCTGCTCTTGTTGAGAAGAAAAGAGAACAACGAAGAAAAAGGTGTCAGAAGTTTACAAAAGCAGGAAGGTAATATCAATAGGGAACTGGCTGTGTTATCTGAAGGGTGAAAAGGAACTGGTTTAAATGGATACACTGGACAACATTAGGATAGTTTGGTACCTTTCAGTGCACATATATAAATAATTAGATTTATTTTCCCGAATCAATTCAGCGGTGCCTTCAGAAGGTGATTGCAGGTTAAAACAGCATTATTGTCACACAGGAATGTGATTTCCAGAATAACACCTAAGGCTTCACAGGTATACTGGTGATTAAGAGCAGACTTGCTGACTTCCTGGCATACAGACTTTGGTAAGTTTTATTGATAAAATAATGACATAGAGTATTTGAGACACTTTTAGCTTTGTGATTTAAAACCAAACAACGGTAGTCCTAAAGCTCTAAAACACTAGAAAGGAAGTACCATTTTTAAAGAAATTCACTTAGGTTATGAAATTTACTCTTTGAGACCATGCAGAGCTTTAAGGTCTGCAGAGCAGCAGAACAAATGAGACTGAAAATGGACCATAATGATGAGCAGTGCCATTTGAATGTTTTACAGTCCCAATATGAGGAGTAATGTGAGATTTCTAAACTTCTGGGCACAAGCTTTGCACTGTGGAAACATGGTATTGTTGTTACCAATACTTTTGGCTCCTTTTATTTATATGCATGTGTGCATTTAAAATCACAGTTGTACTGTGGTGTATATATATATATCATAGGCACTTCATGTGTGTACTCCTAAGGAAAAGTTTAAATGTCAAGGGACATTTCTTACTTGTGAAGAATGTGAGTCAAACCTTTCCAGCAATTTTTTTGGTAAGACAAGGTACATCCTTCATGTGACTGTTGGAGGGAGGTGAAGTGAGATTACCTTACACACATTCAGGTGAAAGCTACATTTAGCTGGAAACTTGAAGAGTAAATGTTAGTTTAAAATAATTTTTTTTTTGCTACCATTAGGCTTACAAAAAGTTCCTGTAGTAGCAATGTTGTTGCCATGATAGTCTCCAGTGCTGCATATGTGCTACACAGTACAAATTGGCCTGCTGCCTGTAGGCTTACATTTGGTATGCAGCTGTCTGTAGTTCTGAAGGATTAGTTTTAGGGAATTTCCAATTAAAAAAACCAAACCACATTAATTTCAGAGCTATGAGTTGTGTGTATTCAAATATCGGTCTCTGACGGACCAGTTCCCTGGTAATTTCTGTGACCAGAGCCTGTTCTTCTGATCCTTGCTCAAGAGAGTTTTTATCTCTTCTCTAACAATGTTCTCACCCCACCTTTTAAAAAATTGGCTATTTAGTCTCAGTTAGTTACTCAAGAGGCCCTCAAGAGTCAATCCCCACGCAGTGAATGGGCACCTTTTTTTTCCCCTCAAGTAGTCACTTCCAGGAGGCAGCTTTTCTGCCTTCCATCTCTTTCCCCAGATTGTACAGACAGTGTAGATTTAGAGAAACAATATTTTTTGCATATCTATGGAAAATTAACCCCCCGAATCATGATAGAAATGCTGCTTCTTGTTTTCTTACGCTGATAGAAAGCACTGAGAAAGTCTTCCAATGAGTATTTTCTGAAGGCAGAGTCCTCATTAGGACTCTGAAATAGGCTTATGTGATAGCAACTAAAAAAAGAAAGACTTTTTCTTTTGCACTGTCCAGAATGAATTCCACATCCTTGTTTCTGTAATTCACTCTAAAAATGTAATTGAATGACCCTGCAGATTGACTTAGTAAATTGTCATCTAAATGCATTGAGCAAAGAAGTGTTTACTGTAACAGTCCAGAAATCTTTATAAATGTAATAGTTAATCCCTTACAATTCAGGTCCAAAAATTACTTTCTCATAATTGAGCCATATTCATCTTTCTACACAAATGAAATGCATTTGTCATATTTAGCAGGAGATCTAGAGAGAAAAACACAGCTTTCTATCTCAATCTTCAGTAAGAAAAAAGGCAGTTGTAGTGGGGCATTAAAAAAAAAAAGAATCATGACAATTATTTTTTCATTTAGGTACAAAGAAACCCCACACCACAAAGGTATTCAAGGTCTGTATTAAGGAATAACTTTCAAAAACTTATGTTTTGGATTCTTTCAATTGCCATCACTTTAGAGAGTGATTACCAAAATGAGAAAATGATACACGGAGAATAAATAGAAGAACATTCAGCGTTTCATTTTTTGGCATCATTAGTACATTTTAGATGGCATGTCCTTGTTAAAATCAGAGCAGGCCATTGGAATTTGGATTAAATTATATGTTTTATTTCTTCCAACAGAGAGAAATTAAAACAAATCCTGTGTAAGCTGGTTTGAGTTGAGCATTTCGCAACCGATGTGGTTAAGTAAGTACTGAACTAACCTATACACTGTGTGTCAAATCTTTTCTTATAAACTAATGCTTCTGAGTATATAAAAAGCACTTCTTACTGTTATGTTCCAAATGGCCTGTGTGGTAATACATAAACATCCATAGAGAAAAACCACTTTTAGTTTCAATGGCTTGTAGATTGAAGTTAAAAAGAAATCCAAAACTCCCTGCAACAAGCAATTAATTTTAAGCCATAAGACTAATAAAACAATGGCAAGTATGCAGCCTGCCTCACAGAAAGATGATTTAATGTCCCTACTGCTCTAAAAAATACAGTTTCACCTGTTGCAAAGCTTGTCTGAAATCCATGTATTTTTGAATTATCAAAATATACCTTGGTATAAAAAGCTCAAGGTTTTTGTTTTTTTTTAAAGTCACGTGCAGCTATAAAGGCTTTGCTTCTGTCCATTGGAATATAAATAACAGTTTTCATAACTCATGTGACAATGTTATTGTAATGGATTTTAGGCAGGAACTGGTTGTGTTTTCTTTTTTTAAACCTTTTGAGGATTAGCAGTAGGAACAGCAAATTTTTAATAATAATACCATTAATAACACATTTTTTAATAACATGGAAGATTTTAAAATGTTTAGTAACAGGATAATAAGAACTTGAATGTTGTGGAGGATGGTCAAAAAGGAAGGAGACAGTGGAACACAAAACTGCTACAGAAATTAATCTGATGGAGCTGTAAAGGATAGTCGTGCGTGTTAAAGACAATATAAGGTCAAGAAGAAAAATGGAGAAACAAATCCATTTTAAAAGCACTTAATCAAATTAAATGTCTTTTGCTGTTACAAACTGCGAAGGACAGGTGAACTTTCCTGTGACTTAACTGCAAATATTACTTTTATTCAGGGATCCAACTCACTTCTCTTTCACTAAGTGTAAAAATAAAAAAATTGTAGAATAAACTAAGAAAAATAATTTGCAGTCATCCAGAAAATAAGCAGGAGGTGAGTAACAGGATGGATTTGTGAACAGCAAACCATGGTAAGCAAGTCTGATTTCCCTCTACAACAGGGGAGCTGCTTTTCTGAATGAGGGGTAGGCAGTTGTATATTTTAATTTTAATAAGGCTTTTGAAAAATGTCTCAACATTCTTATAAACTATCTAGGGAAATGCAATCTAGGTCATACATTAAGGGCTGTATGCCAGATTGAATTTCCCCCTCCAAATTATGTGATTAAGAACATTGTGCAAGTTGTGAGATGTCACATCTCACACGAGATGCTTCTTACTGGTACCACGTCGCCTCTGAGAAAGGCGGTGGCTGCTCACACACATCCCTGCCCGTGTGCTGGCATTCCTGTTGTCAGGGACAGCACGGGGAAAGAGGCAGAAATGTAGGAGGAGAGTGCTGAAACAAGCTCAAAGAGGCTGAGCTGTTCCTCCCAGCCAGCTTTATTAGCTCTCCTGATGACAACTGCAAACACAATATTTATGGAATGCGGTCTCCTTTGAACAGGTACAGTACAACTCTGCACCTGCCTTCTGGCCTTCCTTGCAGGAAATTTGTGCATAGTCTTTTGTGTTACTCTTGCTGTAGATTTAGTGGTGGTTGAAAATACTCAAAAATTATGGTCAACTTGGTGGGACTTTACAAAGGGGTCTTGTACATATATTTTTTCTGGTTTGGTGTCTTGAATGCTAGAATTGAATGTTAGAACGTAATTACTAAAGAATCACAAGACACAGAGGAGCTCCCGGTTTGCACAAAATGTGGTTGATTAGGTCATGAGACACAGTACTATGGAAACCTCTTTCCACTTGGTCCATAGCAAGTGGAAGTGCTCAGCAGTGAAAATGTAAAGAGCTGCATATGGAGTCACTGCTGACAGCTTGAGAAACAACAGGTGATAATGAATCAGCACCAACAGCTAACTGCTCATTCTCTGCTTGACTGTCAGAACAGCAAAGCTTGGCTTAGAAGTACAAGAATTAATTAGCTGATGTCAGGAATAGAAGCAATGATGGTTAATGTGCCACCTGGGCGTATTCATGTCCACTGAAGGCAGTGGATGGTGCTGATATCATCACCAATAGAGAGCAGGACAGAACCAGCAGCAAACTAAGAGTGACCTGGCTTTACTTCTGAGTTTGTTTTGGAGGTAGATGAGGAGCAGAGTTCTCTGTCTGCTGAACAACTCTGATCTGTTACTCATCAACTAAACGAGCCAAAACAGAGTTAAAACAAAGCAACTCACCACCTCCAAATGGAGTGTGGGTGTCAGCTCTGCTCAGCTATTCGCTCCAGAGTGAACCTGTCAGCCTGCACGTCCTGACAGTCCTATCGCTGCACGGGGAAGGGGATCAAAGGAAAACGTACTGAGAACAACACAGATGAAGTCTTCTGGAGTCCTCAACTCCGAGCATTTCTTGCATGTGAGAACAAGAAAAGAATCTTTGTGTAAAGTTGAAAAATACTTCCATTGCACTGAGGAGGAAGTGTTCTTCTGTTAACAGCCCTTCATTCAGTGATTCACAGACCGCGTCTCATCCCACAGACTTTAGGTGCTGCTTTGTACCTTTTGAGTGCAGTCATCTTAGGGTCCTGTGTCATCATCAGAAAGTTACTTTCAGAGTGAGTTACTTTACAGGACTCAACCTTCCTAAAGTCTGAGTTGCCTCTGGAAGCAGCTCTCTTTGTGGCTTGGAATCACTCCTCAGCTGGAGCTGATGTGATCTCAGTGAGAGGTGCTCTTGACAGGTATAGGATACCTCTGGCACAAAAGGCTTCTCAGCTTATCTCCACACAAATGCAACAGCTGTATTTCCCCTCAAGTCCCTCCTGTCCCAGAGCTACAGCAATGAACAGGTGTGAAGGGATTGTGACAAAAGTGTGTCACGAGCAGAATGTTCTCAGCTCTGGCTATGCTGTGCCAGTAGATAAACTTCTGTCCAGCACAAGAATGAAAGACTGTGTTTGGCCAGATCTACAGCAGACAGACCCTTGGTCCATGGGATCAGTTTGGGGTATGATTGGAAGTGTGGAACTTAACAGAGTACATTTTGCTTCACTGACATGAACAGAGTCAGTGAATGACTAACATGAGCACTGGTCATGAACAACAAACAGACTGGCCCAGACATGCTGACTGGTCATCTTTGGGGACTATCTGTGATGCTTTTTTTTAGCTTTTTTTTTGTTTTTTACATTTTGACTACCAAGTATACACATGCTCTCCTCAATCAGCTTTCTGAGGTCTTCCTTCCTAATCATCATTCCAGCCACTGCTGAGATAATTAACAACAATGAACAGTAAAACTGGAAATAGTGGAGCTTGATAATCATTAATATTATTCCTCTGAACTCTGTTTATTTTTTTCCCTGGATTCTTTGTAGAATTAGTCTAAGTGGTGGCATACAAGAGATAATTTTAGTAAATTACAGCAAAGCAATTAGAGGATGAGTTTAATTTACAAGCAGACATTTTTTACTGCTATTTTCTGGGCTGCTTCGTATCAAATAAAATGTTTGGTTTCTTAATTATAGGTAATAAGAAAAAGATTGGAGAAACTAATGACCAAACCAAAACATGTTTCATATTTGATCATTTAGATACAGAGACAAATTAAATTCCCTCTCATATTACAAAAATTACATTAAAACTGCTCTTACTTACAGTAGCTCTTAGTTCCAGAAACGCTGTATCTTTAAAAAGAAAGTTCAGTAAAGTGGCTTAAAGTTACATGAGGTGTCGTTTAAACAGCAGAGCTCACACCGAGTGTGGCAAAGTGTCCAGGGATGCGAAGGACCTTTCAAGGAAGTTGGACTGCATTGATTTGTTGAGCTCTGAATCTAAGGATGAGCTGACTGCAGTTCAGAGAAGCAGTGAGACTTTACAGGGATGCTTTTACTTGGAATGGTTTGGTAGGAGTGTGCTTAGGATCATAGAGAAAGAGTAAAGGAGCTGTGGAGTTAAGGGGAAACTCAGGTGTCCTCCATTGGGATTCCGAATTTCCTCTGCTGAATATTTGGAACTGTCTTGGAAACAAGGGCTTTCTCACATGTTTAGTAGGTGATCCAGACATTTCTTGATGCAATAAAGCTGCGATCCTGTGCTATCTGCTCCAGGTGGACCTGTTTCAGCAGGAGGCTTGGGCTACATGATCTCCAGAGGTCCCTTCCAAGCCCAGTTGTTATGAGATTCTGTGTGACTGATGTCTGAGAGGGCCTGTCCTGCCCAGCCCAGCCAGCCACAGAGCAAGGGATGATTCAGCCAAGAAAAGCCAACATTTCTTTAACACATCAGATGTCAAAGTAGGAATGGAGAAAAGCTGTGCAAAGTAAAATAAACCGTTAGCAGAAGACCCCAGAGGACTACAGTGGAAGTAAAGAGAATATAGTCAGCCTTCAGGAAATCTTGGTTAAACAACATTGGGCTGAACGAGACAAACTGTGGCAGCAGTGTACTGGTGTGATCTGATTTAGTGACAGACTTATCTACAAACATATTGCCTAGCATGGGTAATTGTAATGACTTAAACATTAAAAATCCTAGCTAGAAATTACTACAAGACACTACAATTAATAACTCCCTTTTTAAAAATGTTGATAAAAGAACAGGAGGCAGTGAGACTGCTGTTTTTACAGGACATTAAAGGATGGCTATTAAAACTTTTTGCCCTTCACATTAGTATTTTGAATTATGCAAATTATAGTTCTGTGCTTCCCTCCAAAGGTCTGTAGGCAATAAGATTTCTCCTTCCAAATGTTAACTTTTTTTTCTTTAAAGAATGTGTGTACATGATTAAACCAAGCTCGCCCTTCTACCTACTTTTTAGAGAAGCAGCATCTTTCTATTGGTGTATTATAGGAATGAAGCTCCCTCCCCCTTCACAGGAGATGGCACAATTCAGAAGTTGTTTCAGAACATACTCAGTTTAATTACAGGATCAGTGAACACAGCAACGTTTTCTTGGCAACAGGTAGAAAAGCTGGCAGTTGCTCAGTTTCTCTGGAGCTGTTTCTTGGCATTACATCGCTGCATTAGAAACTTGGATTTCATTTCTTACTTTGTTTCTCTGTTCCCCTGCTTCATTTCCTCTTTATCAGTTTTTTTTCTAGTGGTACATAAAAATAACATGCTGCATTCTTTGTTCTGAAGAAAGAATAAACTCAGTTGCTTTTTGAATTCATAAACAGTGATGGGATGTGGTAAGAATCCTGTGCATATACATATGCAGCATCTCATAATAAATAAGGGAGCTAAATGAAGACCATGCACAGCTTGGAGAAGTGTAGAATGTTAAACTGATATAATTATCATTGCTGAACTTATATATTAAAATGCATTACATGCATAAGAAAAAAAATCAGTTGGGTTTCTCGTGTAAAACTACTGGTACAGGAGGCAAGAGAAACCCCTCAGGGTAGAAAGAGAGAACAGCCAACAGTACTTGTGACTTATGTTGGTGTTTAATCACTGCAGCCTTGCTGCCTTATTGAGTGCCCCATGAAGTTCATTTCTATTGATCACTGCATACACTAAGTTGAATTTAATACTTGGAAGTAGATATAATATATTAATAGCAGTATTTTCAGAGAAAATATATTGTTCCCCTTCCCTTGTCCCTTTGAGAGACTAAACAAAACAAGCAACAGAAGTAACTGCTGACTGAGGAGAATGATGATGTAAGTCCTGTGTATCTTCACTTGACAGAAGAGCATAATTTTCCAAATTTTGCAATTCAGATTGCTAGGTTTTTAATACTTTAATGTAGTCATACATAGAGAATATGAAGAATTAATTAACAATCTGCACTGGATCCCTGATGGAGCTCTCTGGGTAAAAATGTGCTTAATAATATCTGAGAGAACTTTCAGGAAATTATTTGTATATCTGTCTAGCACTCAAAATCATCTCACTTTTGCTATATTCTTACCTTTATTTTTATCATCATTCCTTTTAAAGCCATCTGAAAAGCGTCTTAATAATAATTTGCTTTTCACAAATAAAAAATTGTATTTTTGCTCAGATACATCATTATTTTTGTGTTTGTACACCATATGGAAGACACAAACAGACAGATTCTTCTTAGGAGCATGCCATGCCTGTACTCTGGCCTTAAAATTTTAGTTCGTTTTTGTAACTCTGTGCAAACTCAGTTCATCCAAAAGAAAAAACAACATTGGAAATAGTTTTTTTTCTGTCATCTTTTCCACTTATTTATGCCATTGTACGACAGTAACTGAATGTGGCCCCCACTAATTGACATCATGTATCTCATCACTTCTGGTCACAGTTTCTCATTCTACAGTTTCTGCTGTAGGGTTGGAAGGAGTACCCAGATAAAGTAACTTTTTTGAAGTTTTTTTGTCTTAGGAAGTAAATTTGCCACATTGCTGAAGTAAAATATTTAATTTCTATTTTGAGGTCTGCAAATCAGAATGTAGGGCAATGCTTTATTTGGTTAAGATGTTATGCTGTGTTTTGTTGAATTCAGACCTTTAGAGTTGGGTTTTTTTCTTCTATGAATTGTGAAGCAGGCACATTTGTACCCTTCCATAAAAACAAAATATTTTCAGAGGCAATGAGGAACAGGACAAAAAGAGTTAACAATCAAACAGTACAGCTTCTGGAGAACTTTATACTTCTCCTCTAAACATTCATCACAGCAGTAGCCTAAAATTTTAGTTTAAATTTTTGCATGATTTTGTAAAACTTTTCAGTATTTTTCAGCAAGTCTGGAAAGGATACATTAAGGTTTTTTCCAAAAGTGTTGACTATCTATGTCTAGCTCTCACTTAAGTGGCTTGAGCTTATCTCTAACAAATGATGGGTTTTTAAGACGGGGATGGCATCGCTCTCTACCCATACATTCGAGATTTTCTGCACAATTTCTGTATACTGTACTGTCAGAAAAACAATAGAACTAGAGAATGTTTCTGTGTCTGCAGAGACACCTTTACTCCAGAGAAAGATTCTCTTTATCTGATAAAGTACATAGGAAATATTAAATTCAATGCTCAGCACCCTGTGTCTTCAAATAGCTTATTGAATCAGGTTGGTATTACTTAGAGTCATTTCCTGAACTTGGGTGCTAAATTATGCAAGTCCTTGGAAGCAAGACCCATGTTCAGCTACTCACTTGCTCAAGTGTGTCACTAAATCATGCCTCAAAAAAGGGCTGTACTGAACCTTTATGATATTTTGTGTATATTTTAAATTTGTAAATATCTAAATACAGTACCGGAATTTGATTTTGAAGGATTTGTTATGCCACTGGTTTTAGTTCTCTTTGAGAACTCATTCTTTGGAGCACTCAAAGAGGGGTTTCCTATTTAATGCCACTTTTAGTGGTATTCTTCTCAAATTTGTCAGCTTTGGAAATAATATGAAAGCCATGTCTTGGATTTGCTCCTTTCATCTTGTTTCTTCTTTTCCTCTTGACTGCATTCTTATATTACAGTTTATATGATGATGAATGTGAGAGTAACGCCTGGTGATTTTGACTCACTTTGGATGAGAAGTATGAAAGTAACCACCAGTGAGTTTGACTCACTTTTGATTTCCTTTCAGGGCTTTTTGCTTTTATTTTCAGGCTTAATCACTATTATTGTAAAAATATTTGTTGTCTCCACAGAAGTTCCCCGATGATTTTGACTGTGCCTTGGGCGTGTCGTGTAATGGACCCACACATACACATGATTAATTAACTGCCAGTTAAGTACAGAACTTATTTTCTCCAAATATAAAATATAGTTCTATCCTGCCACGCTGTGCCACACTTAAAAGACTCTTTGAGGAATTTACTCAATCTTTATTTAGATGTGTTAATCCTGGTAAAAATGCAAAAATATTTTTGGTAGCTAAGCTTAATGAGGTAATAATTACTCATTCTTGTTTAACTTCTGCTAGATTTAGTATCTAAATTTGGGACACGAATATAAAATCTTTCCTGTGCCCACATTTCCAGTTTTAAAGTACTTAGAAGAATCCAGACTTATTCCAGCAATTTTCTGTACTATAAATCCAGAATGAATATTCTGTTTCCACTTTCAAGTGTTAAAAAATAATTTCTTTTTTTCTTTCTAAGGTCTTTATCTTATTTATTTCTAACAGAATACTCATTTAATCACATGGCATTTGTGATGACTTCTTAGTAGTGTGTACTGTTGCAGAGGTTCTAAGTTTGCAGAGTAGAGGCTTACTCTTAGTCTGGTTCTCTTACAATTTTCTATATTAAATATGAGAAAAAAGCTCTTTCTGAACTGAAATCATGGGCATTATTTATAACTTAATTTAGATCCGTGTAATGTAGAAAGTAAGCAAATTTGTTTCCAGTTTTTCACATTGATAATTTTCAGTCTGTTTTCTATTTTTCATAATCTTTTTAATGTGTTGTCTTCCATTAGCTGAGTTGTATTATTGCCATTCACAACATCAAGCCACATGAGAGTGAGAAATAGAGGACGGAAAGGAAAAGTAAGAATAAACAACTTATAGTCTTAATAATTCTTAATCAGCTACTGCTTTTGATACTTTAAACATGGTGATAATTAATGTGGAAAGCTCTGGAAGCCTTGGTAAGCTCGCTTGATCATCTGAAGAATGCCGGGACTTATTAGGGAAAGTTCATGATTCATACTCAAGGATTAAGCCAAGAGAATCTTGTGACCTAAGCAGCCTGGCTCTCCAGTGGTAAAAATGGGATTTTCTTATCTTACACAAAATAATAATTGAGACAGAGAGCAGGGATGGAAGCAGACAGTATACATTGATTTAAGAGTGAGCAATACTTGGTGTGGAGAGAAATTGCCTTTTTGGCAAATTGTTGGTATCATGATGGAAATATAAAGTTAAACTATAGTACATGAAGTGTTCCATAGGGATGAATCAGAGCATTCTTGAGGCACAGTAAAGATGAGAATTGTAACATGAAATGGGAGGGTCTTTTATGTTCAATGGCTGAGTTATCCTTAAAAAATGTTTAGTCATTTGCCTGATATTGGGAAATTGCTCTTCCCGATCACTGAAACCCAAACACACGAACATGTATCACAGCACAGTGACACAGTCAGCACTCAAAGCTCCTGGGTGCAAGATTTGGGTGATGACATGAAATTTAAACTTATTTCTAATAGTAAACATTGACTTGACAGAGTCAGTCAGCTTCAATTTCCACTACTGAGTTAATAATTTGACTTTTGATTTGTGTGTTTGGAATCCTGAAAAAAAGGCCTTTGAAATATGAGCAATGAAGGATGTGCTGGGTAAGGGAGCATTGCAAACCATCTCCATGAGACAGCCACATAAACAAATGCTAATCCCTTTGCTGAACTCATTGACATAAACCATCTTGGTCATATTTAGATGCCTTGCCACCTCTGTCCTTCTCTCTTCCTTTTTTTTAGTGCTCCATCTTACTGGAAGGGAAAATGAAAATACAAAAGCCAACCATCATTGCTGTTTAATTGGAATCTGATTCCCAAGTATGAGAGAAATAAAACACTGCTGGTTTGGTGTAACTCCCATCTTTTCATATTGTTTTCATTCCCTTTTAAGAATGGATTAATATCAGCAGGCAAAAATGTAATCATTGTATGCATCTGATGATCCTGTTGGCTTCTTTAAAAGTCATGCCATCATCTTCCTCAGCCTCCACAGTGCAGAAATCCCTGGCAGGCACTGAGGGAAGTGTCAGTGGTGGCCTTTGTGGGAACTGCTTAGGTGGGGGCAGAGCAAACTCCCTCCTGTGCAATCTTTGTGTGGCACAAATCAGTCACAAGGAATGATGGTGTAAGGGCCACACTCATTCTAATAACATCAGGGGTTTGGATTGAGTTCTCTGGAGCAAATCAGACATTTAAAGCTTTTTGCAAAGAGATCATTTGTAGGAAAAATTTCCCATCATTACACTCCTGTGCTCAGTTGCAGCATCTCCAATTCATGTTTATTCAGACCTGCCTTTGCTATCCTTGAGTTACAGTTGAAATAAAACAGATTATACAGTGGGAAAGTATAATCCATAGCAGTACATACAGTAAATTCCATTAGTACTATAAATTATATCTTTGCTATTATTAGCTAAAGATGCCTCATTTATTAGCATTTATTCGTATAATCAGTGTATGTAAGACAGGGTACCTGCCCCAGAGAAAAGTGGGCCCTAGAACATTTGTGAGGATTATACAGTCCTTCAAAAATCTGTGGTTTGTATTGGAAAAATATTCTATGTTTTCTACTCATATCAGAGTTATATTCAGTGTGAACACTTAAAGCTCATATACATAATCCTGGCATTTGTATGGGCATGAATTATCTCCACTTTCAATACAGCTTTGAATAGCAGAATAGAATATTTTACCCATTAGAAAAGCAATAAGCAAAAAAAGGATTATGAAAAAATTTAGGTATTTTAATTTTCCCATAAACATTGCAAAACAATAGCCAAATATATTTATTTTCTGCTGAGTAAAAAGAATTTAAAATCCTCAGTTCTACACAGCATTGTATCCAGGCAGCTCCATTCCTCTGTGGAGTTCCACCAATTGAATTTATTCAATTCAGATTACAGATCTGCTTGCAAAAGTGCACTTTGCACAGGGAAGGATATTGCATTTATATATCATAAATAAAAACTACTTCTACAGTGTTATTTAGACTTAGGATTTAGATTTTGGAGCCAAAGCCACCTCTATACTTACAGCAAGACTTTGGCTCTGTGTAGTGAATACCACCCATGGATATGGAAAGCAATGAACACAGGCTTACAGACCAGGAATAATGCCAGATAAGATGAAACTACTTTAAATATTAGATGTAAGGAACATATTTTTAAAAATAATCACAGAATTCTATCACCTGAAAAAGAAAAACAGTTTTATTTAAAGTAAATATAATTGAAAGTCTTGCTGTGACATGGACTGTGTGTTCTCTGACACAAAAGTTCTCACAGTAGAAGACCGACCAAAAGACAAACTCTGGAATATTGACAAGAGCTCTATAAAAATGCAATAAAATTCAAGTTTATGAGTTTTTATATAGCTTCAAAGAGAAATTGTTTATCAATGCTGAAGTTCCATAAGCAAGTAAAATTGGTTTTCTTTCAAAAAATAAAGTAAAATGAAGGCATAATGTAATATTTAGGAATATTTACATAGCCAAAAATACATAAATGTAGTACCTTACATTTATTTTGACATTCAGGTTCAATACTCAGGATTTAATATCTGAAGATATGAGATTTAACATATGTTACTGTAATAGACCCATGTGTGTTTTCAATTATCTACATACAGTCAGCACAAAACATATTTTCAAATACGAGATTATTTTTCTTCTGATTTTGCACGCCTCGATTTTGAAATGTATTTTTGAATATTTTGAACATTCCCAACTCCCTGATGAGAGCTGGACTGGATACTTCCCCAGGAGCGGGGTCTTTTTACACTCCAGGGTAACAGAGAGTAAAGGCTTCAGTATGACTGGGGAAGGGGGAAGGGAGAAGTACAGTGGAAGATGATTTTGGTCAAATATTTCTTTTCCAAACATAATATTCTTCAATATAGCTTGTAAGTAGAACATGAAATCGATTGCTATAAACCCCTAAAAGTTATATATTGGAATAGTTACCTTAAGTCATTTTATTCTCTGCCCCTTTATGAATGATGCCACTATGCATACCTCAAAATTACAAAGAATTTCTTCGTAACAGGAAATGGGCTGAACAACTCAGCTTTATAAATACCTGGAAAATAGAGATTACTGTAAAAATAATGCTGCACTGTGATGAGTTTTTACTTGCAGCTTTTATTTTGATGACCTTTAAAAATTTCATGTAAGTAACTGAAACTCGGTCTTTATCAACGTTTTAGGACTGTGGTGTATGGAATCTGTGAATTCCACCAGTGCCCTTAAACTCCACAAACCGAGTGAGGTTCCAGAGTACCCTGCAGCAAACCTGGATCAGAGAACAGCTATTTGCTGAATCTTTCCTAAATGTAAGTAACTTGGGCATTTTTGTCACAGAAGTATTTTATTTGAACAACCTCATTGTGATGTGTCTTAATGAGGAGATATCTGTTTTTCCCAACTATCAGCCATTTGCAGATTGACCTAATCCAGGTTTACAAAGTTCTGACACAGAGGCTGAAATGCATTTTTTCATCTGGAGCAAACTTCATTGCTAACTAAATCAAACCTTCCCACGAACAGAATAGAGAGCAGATACAATAATATCACATCCATAAGTATTTCACTAAAAGCTGACAGAGAAATAACAATGATAATTAAAATCATATGGTTATAAAAAAGAGTAAAAATATTTTCAAAGTAAAAATATTTTTCAGTAAAATATTTTCAGAGTAAAAATATTTTTCCACAGTGAAATTATCTCAGAAAATTCTTATAATGCTGATTTTCTTTTAAATGTGAGAGAGATTTCTGCAGTATTTATATACTCCTACGCATGATTAATGGTGTCAGTGCTGTCTTTTTTATTAACATGTCTTTCCTACATATATATGGCATTAGAAGATTAATAGTCAAATGAAGGCTGCAGTCAAATGAAGTGCAGAGAGCACCACGAAGGCTTCTCCTTGTATTTTAAACAAGACTTTTGCATTTTAGGGCAGACTCTTCACCTAAGGGCAGAGTTTGCCTTTCAGGCAAAAGCCTCTGTAAATTGTGATTTGTTCATGCTGGTAAAGACTCGAGGAATTCTGATGGAATTGTATGTAAGTATTTGTTTTGGTGAATAAGTGGTTATCACTTATTCAAGTGAAGGCAGTGAACATTTTGCCAGAAAACTTTAATCCAAGCATTAAAAGACCTTTTTAATGTCAAACAGTAGCAAAGTAAACCAAGTTGTTTTCTGTCACTAACCATTAGTGATTCCCTTAGGTCACTGTTTAAGGTGGCTGGACTGAAAATGTACTTTTTACATTATTCACCACAGTCAAGCAGTTGCTTTAAGGATAAACCTCATGCTACAGGTAAAAATCCATGCTACAGCTGGGAGTGAGAGTTACATTATTAATGGGCACATGTGAAGAGTGTAAATATTCGGTGAAAATATGTATTTGTGTCATTGAAACATGGAATCAAGTATTTGTCCTGCACAGTGTGAAATAACACACAACCCAAAAGTTCTGAAGGAAAAAGTGTAGTTTTCCTGGATGATTTCTGGATTATGCAGGTCATTTCATAGCATGCTGCAGCTCAAAGCAAGTACCTGAAATATGTCTCTGGGATAACACGTCACAACAGCTTTTTCATTTGGTCCAACTACTGAAATGAGGTAAAAATAGTTTTCCAGTTATCAGGCAACGTGCTTTTTTATAAGGGAGTCAGCAGGACATCCCCAGTCTCATTTTTGCCTCTTGTGGCAGCCCCAGCCCAGACACTGGTGGGAGTGAAGGGCCAGGCAGATCTGCAGATTTACAGACACACAGCTGGGTGACACTTCCCCCCACACAGACACATCCTCGCGGCAGTGGCAGCTCCCCACGCAGCCAAGGAGCCTGTTTACATGTGCAATTAAGCATATGGCTTAGGGGTAATTTGTGGAGCCCTCTCCTCCTAAACCAACAGGAGTATTCCAGAGGAATGAGTACAAAGAAATTGCCAGTAGTAATATCTAGAAGGTCATCATCCTTATTTATTCAGTGTGTTAATCCAGCTCTCAGAGTCTGTTCCAGAGAGAATCTCCTCTGGGACCAGCACCAGCCGTTTTTATGGAGCAGCATTTACAGGCTCCAATGTTTAACCACTCTGCATTTAATAAGAGAGGGAACTTCCCTTGTTCAGCACAGTTGTACGATTTGGGATCTGTATTTCATGAATGTAGCAAAAACTTTTCATTTTGGTAAATAATTTGGCATGTAAATATTAGCATGGATAATTCCTTAATTTCCATACTAGTTTATCACACTTTAGACTAACTAATGCTCCAAATTCCAGATGAATCAGGGTCAAAAATCTCTCAAGTTTCACGTTATTACCTGTCAATTGAACTATTTGCTGTGTTGAAATGAAACCAAAATCAGCTCAGGCATATTGAATGTGTTAAAGGGAATTTGGTCTGGGGTTCCAGTTGATTTAAAAGCAAAACCTATTCCAATCAAGATTCTTTTCCATAGATTAAGGTTTGGTTTTGAATAATTCACACTGACCTATGTAACACTCATAGTTTATAGAAGTGATTTATTGGGTAAAATACAGAAATAGGGACTCAGAATAAAACGTTCCATCAGAAGAACATTTTGCTGTGTTCCATTAGAAACAAAATGGTCTTTTACAAATGTATTTGCTTGAAGATATTCTAAACTTATGGTTGTGCAGATCAGTTTCTTCTTTTCCAAATGGGTCTATGCCTTGTGGAGATGTCAGCTAATAAAGATACTTATTTCTGCAGTCTTTGATTTTCAGCAGGGCTTCTATAAATAAGGAAATTCAATAGTTTCATTGTAACCTCATACTGCAGGGGTTTTTACAACACAGTGTTTCATGTACAGTCTTGTGCTCTCTAAAGTTTTATCAATATGATGATAATGACAAAAAATATTACTGCCTGTAATTTTAAGTAGACAATTACTAAGTAAAACTGTTTTGTCATTTAGACTTTATCTTTGATCATGTTGCTTCTCTGTGAGAAGTTGCTTCATTTTTTATATTAGCCTGGTCTAGTGCAATTTAGAATGTGTTTATAGGTGGAAGTTATTACTGCATGAGAAATACTTGACTTTTTCTATATTCATGCTTAATTTTATTTTGTCATTTAGAATATCTGTAGGTTGCATGACTAGACTTGGCACTTTATAAAGTGGTGTCATAAATAGAATAGGCAGCTACAGTGAGACAATATTAGAATAGTCCTATTTTCCATTATTTCTTCTGATCTTGTATGTAAGAAAAATAATGTGCTGGCTTTTCATTTCTTAATCCTTTAAGGAACATAGTGAATTTAAAGATAGTTAATCTCTCTTTACTTTGGGTGTCTAAAACTTAGGTACAGTGATGAACAAGATGACTGAGGAGTACCCTATTATCAGTGAAGAGAAATGGGTGCTGTCAAAGAGTTAGTCATCCTCTCATATGACAAGAATTGGAGATAGTTAGGACTCAAAGAGGAATTTGCTGAGTTTTGAAAGATTCTACTCTGAATCTGGACTTATTCTGCAAAACCAGACCATCATCTTTAGGGAGGTTACGCTGTTAAATCATCCTGGAGCCATTAAAAGTGGATTTTATAGAAAAGGGGTATTTCCTTCACATCCACTAAAGCAAACCATATGTGTGTGTATCTGTGTAGCTATAAATATACACAGGTAATGGTTGGATCTTGCTCCTTAAATGATCATTTGTTGCAGTGAGGCAGAACCTGGTACAATACGTTTCCTGTATTCTGAAATGTTTGGTCATTATTTCAATCACTCAAATTTAGGCCCTGGCTGAGAACAATCAATATGGCTGTAAATCTAAAAATTAAGTAGAAATAGATATTGCACCCATAGGAGTACAGATAATGTTATACAATGTATGATAATGTTCCCATATTATCAAAAATTGTTTAATCAAGATTTTTTAAAATTGTAACATTTTTTACTTCAGTAAGAACTAAATTAGCCTTGATAGGAATTCTTTCTATTACTCTACTCAGTTTATACTTTTCTGTGAAGAACTTATCATTCAGCTGTGTAGTACTTTTTTTTCCATAGAGGAAGACTATATTCTTCAATTCCATTCATCTTTACATGCCATTTGCTGCTTTACTAGGATTAACAAGGCGTTCCAAGTATTTTAACAGGAAAGTAATGCATTCACAAAAATTCTCATTAAAGTCTTTATCTTCAAGTTACAAAAGACTGCACTTTTTAATGATTAAAAACTGCATACTGAAGCAGCACATACTTAGAGAATTATTCTGATAGTACTTTTGTTACATAGGTTTTGGAAGATCCCTTTCTTTGCTACCACATTCTTGTGTCTTGGAGCTCTTTTATTATGGTAATAAAGACTGGATTCTTACTTAGGGATATAATCTGTGGCTATCAATGACTAACTAACACATCTCTTCTGTTATTAAAACAATTCCAGTGTGGAAAAGTTCAGTTTTAAATGTAGAGGATCAAATTATATTTGAGGCGAGTAAGGCTACAAGCACAACTAACTAGCACCTTTCCAACAAAGGTTTATTGCCTTGCAATTGTCTCAGTTTCATGAAAATTTGTAAGGATTCTTAATTCATACTTAATTCATATTTTTTGAAATTCAGAAGGGAGCTCCATGTAATTTCCTATCAGTGCAGAAACACATTAGGTAAAGAGCAGAGGTATTGATATCTAGGTGCAGAGATATTGATATTTGAGCAGAGATAAACACTAGAGCTCGTTGAGATGAATTCCTGGTGCAGTACTCCTGGTGCACCACGTCTGAGCCACTGCTTCACAACAGTTTCTCCACCAAATAATCAGAATTCCCTACAAAACATTCCAAAATGAGGTGTTTCAGAATCAGGGAGTGCTCCCAATATGCATCCTCCAAAAAAAAATACTGCTGGCCCGTTGTTTTAAATGAAGGGGTCCTAGAAGTGCCTTTCCAGCTACATCTGCAATGATGTGTGAGTAGGAGGAGAGATGCCTTCTCAAAGGTGATATGGGACACACTCAGATCTTCATTTTGACCCAGCCTCAGTGCTGAAGCACAGCTCCCGTTAACTTCATTGTGCAGTCAGGCCTGTGATGCTGCAGTTCCAAACACATTTCAGGTTATCACTGTATTGACTAAATACAAATACAGTTTGTTGCTCTGGGAGACACACATATTGCAAATTAAATCAGCTGCTGGAACAACACGAATATTCTTTATGCCTAAGGAATGTTGGATATTCTCTGAGAACTCAGACATTAAGAAATGCAGTTCTTAATTGTTGTTATTCTCCATTCACATATTTCTCCATGAATTTGTGGTGAGTTGTGAACACACACATTTGTTTGCTTCTCTATGCATATGTCTTCTTTTGCTTGTCTCCCTGACAGGTTGCCAATGTTTTGTTTCTCAAAAATTAAGTTTTTGAAATCTTTTGCAGAGTACTGGGGTGGCAGGTGTGTGAAAGGTGACAAGAATTCGAGGCCAAAGTTTGAAATGTTCGTGCACTGCGAAGGAAATAATTTTCATGGTAATTATGCAAATATATGGATAATTAGGAATCCTTTGGACACTAAGTACATCTTGCAATATTCAATACAAGGTCCTGTACTATGAAATTTTGCAAATTCTGTTGTACATTGAGATGTGATGTAACAGGGCATTATGCAAATCCCTACTGGTATCTTGCTATTGTTTTATGTCTTTTCCATTAATGTGAAAGAACACAAAAAACAAAAGGAAAAGCTGGCTGTAGAAGAAGAATTATGCATTTGACTGCATATAAAGTAATTCATGAAAACAATTTTGTATGTATTTATACCTTTACAGATAAAACAGTTTTGCTTTTTCCTTCATTCATGCATTTAATTTAATGATTTTGAAAGATGCAGATGGAATAGTAACAGTTATATAATTTTCATTTTGCCAACAGGTTTCTTGCAAGAGTGCTCTGACAAACAGGGAGTCATTTCAGTCAATGAGTTGTTGTTCTCCCCCTCACCACATTTCTGTGGTCACTGTCACCAGTGGAAATCACAAGCTCGTTATCATTACTTGAACTGGAGGGTATTGCAAAAATAGTAGATCCAACAACAAAATGAAAACGAGACAACAGCTTGTTGTCTTAAATACATTCAAGTCAATACTTACATAATCTTTCAGAATTACATCAGATATTAAATGGAGGCAAATAAATATTGTTTTAGCTTTCTTTTTATTTTAAAGTCCTATTTCTGAATTTTTTCCTATTCATTCTGTGTTAGTAGTGAATTTACATTCCTGTGTAAAAAGACATGGAGGTAACTGCACAATTTAGATTTGATAAGACCAGTGAACTGATACTGTGGCTCAATGATTTTGTCTGAACTTCGTTGTAAAATAAAAAATAATAACTACAAACCATGTCAGCATTTGGAACAGGGTACATAAATTCTTGGATAAGAAAAAGATTTTAACACACATTCATTGTCTACATTATTTTCAGAAGATTTTAACTTAGTGTTAAATAAATCCTGCATTCAAACATTACGTATTTGGCCAAATGCAAATATCTCTTAGTTAAAAACTTAACTAAGTTAAAATATTTCCTTGCTACATTGCTGCTGACTTATACTTCAATATGCAGATATAATTTTGTGTGACCATTTCTTTTACTTTTCTTTGAAAAAGGTTCTAAGAGATTTAGATTTATCTCTCTCAGACATTTTAGAACTGGCTTGATAATAATTCTTTGGAAGAGAGATTTTCCCCTAAATGCTGCTAAGGTGTTTTCCAAGTTCCAGAACAATCTGAGCCAAAACTTCAGTTGCTGTGAACTTCCATACTACTACCTGACTGAATGCTGTACCAGCTACCATGGGAGTCTGGTTTTTTCTCTAGACTTAAGTCAGGGTAACAGAACAAATAGCAAATTCTCCATTGAAGTCTCATGTCGTTACTCTAAAATTGAACAAGGCTTTTAAGATAATTCAGATAAAATTTTGTTTTAAAATCAGTGTTCCTTCTTGAAAGAGGATACTTGTTTTGGGAGACCTAACCTAACCTAGGAGAACTTGATTACAAAAAGTTAAAAAATCTAGTTTAGGCAGGATAATGAGTCTAAAGTGCTAGATCAGTGACCTTTTATAATATATGAACTTTATTCTACCCTGAACATTAACTCCAGCAGGCACAGTATAAGACAAATGTTATCAAACAATATTCTCTTCCATTTTATCTTAGTTTTATTTGCTCCTTATGGCACAAACTAAGGAAAAATATTCTTAGACCTCAGAAGACAAATGCCATCTGTCTGGTGTGTCTGTGCTTGCCATATGTGATCTATTCAGCTTATGAAATACCTGCACCCAACTTGTTGGTGTGAAGTTGAAAGACAGTTTATTCTTTAAGCAATGTGATGCTCCTGTAGGCAGCCAGTCAGCTAATCTGGGACATACTTCCTTTGCTTCTGCATTCTCACAGCTTACTATTTCTGTTACAGGCCTACACCAAATCCCTTGATCCAGTGGACTGATGATCATTAGCATCCTGCTTTCTTCACGCCCCAGTCAAGGTACAGTAGTTTCATAAGGTGCTACCTGCTGATTATCACAATATAGATTATAAAAAACCAGATTATCTGCTGGTTATCACAATGCAAAGGTCTGCTGCCATCAAATACCAGACATTTTGGAGGAATTTCTTTGCACAGCAAGAAGCTTTTGAGCTCACAAAAGATTTCCATTGAAATGTTCACCTTATTGGCCCTCTTACCAGACTGCTCACATTCTGAATCCTTTAGAGCTGCTCTTAGCCCCAGTTGCTTAATAGTGGAACTGTGTCCTGTATCAAGAGAGCTTTAATTTCAAGCCATATCCCACTCCTGAATTTCCATGTACATGTCAGTGTCTGGTCTGTTGCTCAAGTTTTAATAGTCTAGATTTGAGAATCAGAAGAAACCAAGATAAGCAATTAAATAAATGAATTTAATAAATAACTGATTGAAGAATAATTTATTAAATTAGTGAACTTATTTACTTAATTAATTGAAAATATCTAGCATGCCAATAGCAATACTTCTGTGCTATTAGCCTGAGAGCAGTTCAATTAAAAAATAATAACTTTTAGTTGACTAATATTAATATGGTGAATAAATATGCTACCAAGAAAACTGTTTATATTTTCAAGGCAGCCAAGCATCTGCACACAAACAATTTCTTTCTTGCAGCAGAATTTTATATAATGTCTGAAAACACAGAGGGAAAAAAAGCCTTTGCTCTTTCTCCTTCAAAACAGACAGGAGCGTGTTTACTTTCACCAAATATCCACGTGTGTGACACTCTCAGGAGCATTCAGTTGCTGTAAGAGTAGAACTTTCTAATTCTTTTCCATAAACATCCTGCACATGCATCTCCTGTGTCTGTGCCCTCAATAAAGGAGGAAGGAAGTCCTGAAAGACTGTCTGTGTATTCAGTTGTGAGCTCCCACTGGGAAGCCAAGGCAAAGGACACAATTCTTATACAAATGGGCAAAGGTATCTACATTCCACAGCGCCAAGCAACCATCAAATCCAGAAGAAATTCCTAGTCCTCCTCCTTGCCCTACTTCAGGCATCTGGGAATCATTGAAGTCTTGCAAATAACTGAAAATATTAGCTGTCTGGTCACTGCTCACATCGTGCTAAAGTATACATTTCATCTACCCGTCCTAATTTTCTTGTCCATTTTACCCCATATTGTGAGACAGGATATTAAAATAAGTTCTTCTTATTTCTTTGACGGAGTGTAACAACATTTTCCAGACATAATGTGTCTCAATTTTCTCCTAAGTGTATTATTGTTATTTCTCTAGAGCCATAAAAATTGGCATACCACAAACGTCAATGGTGCTTAAAAGCCTGTCTTAGTGGGGGAAAAGGGCTATGAAATAGCATGGTTACTTTTGTAAGAAAAAACATGAAAACTTTTCTAAAATAATTGTTCAATAAAATAAATGATACAAAAAGTCATTACAGTGTAGGATATAAGTCTCTTCCTGAAACCTGCAACCTTTTTCCTTATGTTTTTATCATCTGTGATCAATATACCCACATCCAAGTTTGGCTGGTAAACCCTGATACTACATCACTGCCTTATCTCATCGTTTCCCCTTGTTTATACTATGCTGCATACCCTTACAAAAGGGAAACTAAAAATGACATTTGGGATGTATGGCAGGATTTTTAATATTTACTTTGGCAGATCTTAGTACAGATACAGATTTGGTGACAATATCAAGAGTCAAACACTATCAATTTGTTGTAAGGCACATAGGCCAACAGCAGAAAAATAATCAGACAAGAATTTAATCAAGCAAGTGCTAAATAGAGGTGTATAGCAGGACCTATCACAGCACCTATTTTGTACCATACCTACATACACTATGTTGAATTTTCAATAACTACAACAGGCAAAACCATGGCAATAAGATCCCAGCATCTACAGTTAATGTGAAAAGACCTAGAGCAGAAAAAGCTTATTTTTAACATAACTAATTCACTCGAACAAATTCTGCCTGTTGTGCCATGACTTGAACATAGTTGTTTATCAGTGTAGAATTTAGACTGCTGCATCTGTCCCACCTGGAAATACAGACCCACCACACAGTGGTGCAAGGGATACAAAGGAGGCAGATACATTGAGGAATTTACTACAAACAGAAAGCAAAATTGTCTATAGCAGTGAAAACTCCAGTTACTAAGAATAGAAAACCTTTTTCCAGCACAATAATTCTGGGCATTGACCAGTTATTTTTCTTTTTTCAGCAACACATCAAAACTTTCCACCACTTTTTGTATCTGGTTCCAATGAACTAATAAACTGCTGATAGTGCTTATCAACTTGTCATGCATGGCAATGTTTTTTCACTTGCAACAAGAAAATGTTTATCTTTTTGCTACACTCAAAGCAAGCAGCAGAACTGAAAGTTCCTGCGAGAAGAGCTGGCAAGTGGCCTGCAGTCTAGAGACTTTGCTTTACTCTTTTTTATTGTTTGTTCCCAAAATTGGTTTTCTCAGCCCAAATTTTTCGGTGTTCTAAGATTGGTAATAATTATCTACAGACTAAAAAACGTTCCAACATAAGGTGCAGCACCTTAAAGTTATTATTTGTTCTTTCCAACCTTTTAACGCCTCAGTGTTAAACATGTAGGTCAGGACTGGGAGATGCAGAATCACAGAGGAGAAACAAAGTCCCTATCTCCCATATAGGTTCAAAGCTCCATGTTTCTGCCATAACACAGTAGTATTCTTGTGCATTAGTGAAAAAAACTGAAGTGTTTTTAAATGTTCCACAGGTAGAATGGGAAAATACAGTTTTCTGCTCTCTGTGAAAAGGTGAGAATATATCCTTGGAATATGTAATAATGTCAATACCACCCAATTATTATGCTTCATTAGAAATGTTAAGTTTTTTTGCATTAAGATAAATTTGCTATGACAGGTATTGTAATATACTCTGCAGATTTGCTGTTCAAGTGCACTGCTCTTCTCATCTTAATTCGTAGGGAAATCAGTTAAAATTGTGTCGTTGAAGTTTGTTTTGTCTGCCAACCACAGTTGCAGGCAATTTTTCAATCCCACTATCAACAGTGCCAAAGGAGATGCCTTAGGGAGTTAAGTGGGATGAAACTCCCGAGGCAGCAGGTCACCATCTCTTTGCTGTCTTGGGACTGACATCTGAGAAGAAGTCAGCGAAGCCCTGGAGCAGCAGCGGAGGGAGCGCAGTGTGCCGTGTGCTTCGGGCAGCCCCGGTGCAGCACAAAGGACAGAGGCACCCGCTGGCCCCTCCCAGCCCACCCTGCGGACTCCTCTCCTGCTCCAGGGGCTGTGTGACCCCCGGGCTTTGGAGGCGTGCAGGGTCCTGCTTTAGGAGGAAATCGAGAGCCTTGAGGTGCTTCATTGGGGCAGTTTTGCCCCCTTGCCCCTCTCCGGGGTGTTTGCAGGAGGGTTGTGTGTTATCAGGGGCCTCAGGCCTTGCTTTCTGGCAGGAGGAGCTACCTCTGCTTTGGGGTGGGTCTTCTTTGACTTCTTGGAATTTTCTGTTTATTAACTGGGTAATCTGGAAAGGAGAGGATAGCAATGGAGCTGGTGCAGAAAGATACTGTGTTGTAGGCCAGAGCTGACTATTCCAGATTAAAATGCATTCTGAAATGAGGTGGGAGCTGCACTGCTCCCTCTGGCAGGTGAAGTGCCTGCAGTACCTTACCTGGCTTAGGCTCTAGTCAGGGCATTTTCCACCCTCCTGTGACTGGCCAGGGGCAATCAGGGCCCAGACCCTGAATCCAGAACCTCTTGATGCAACATTCATCTCCTAATGCTCAGACTGGAACAAAAACTCTATAATTTTCATTTCAGATATGTTCTAAGAAGGGGTTTGTTTCCTTTTTTGGTTTTAAATACACCCAGAGTTTTAAAATAATAAAATTCTGGTACAAGTTAGAATAAATTTCTAAGATAAGATGATTTTATATGAATTATCAAGGTATCTAGATTATTTGACTATGAGCCCAGATTATACCACAAAGCCTATGTTTGATTCAAACTACAATCTGGGGATCTTCTGGGCTCACTCAGTTCTCCTTACTGCCAGCTGCAGTCATGGGATAGTTCTGTTACGGATTAGTTCAGAACTCCAAAAACGACTAGCACAGATTCCCTGGCTTTATATATGAATATCCTATTGCTTCCTCTGTTCAAAATTAACCTGCTGCAATCTAGTTTGATTTTTATGGTGCTCTCATTATTGAGATTTCCAAAGGCCTCAGTCAGCAGTCACAGCAAGGCTGTAGATTTCATTTTTAAAAGAATATACAAAATAGTATTCATCATTTGAAAAGTAAGGAAAATTTTAAAGTGGCTTTTTCTTTAAAAAACCAAACCAATACCCAGTAATCAACCAGAAACCAATTTTGATTAAGAATTGAGTTTCTCAGTAGATTATTTCTTGGGCAATATCTCCTGTTAAGTCTAACTACAGAAGAAATTAATCATCTCCAAGTATTTCATCTTCTAATTGCTTAAGTGTAAAATAGGTCATATTATCTATCTTGATGAAAGCCTGATTATGAAGTGTGTGATTTCTTTTAATGATCTTTATTAACTTACAATGATTCCTGTATGCCCTTCCAGCTCTAACTGAGATCCTGTCAGCACTGTACTTCCTAACTGACATTTGCACTTGTTTAAAATACAACCGTAAAGATCCACTTCAGTCACAATCTTGGCACCGGTGATTTAAATATGGGAATAAAATTGTTTGCATGCATTCAAAAGTTAAGGAGAAAAACCAAAACCATTTACACTTCTTTAATCAGCCATCAATGGCAACAAATTAATTCTGTAGTCTAAATAACATTTAAATAGTGTACATACAGTTGAGGTAATGTTCAAAACTTGAGATAATAATGTGTTTCTTCAATATATAAATGAGACTGGTTTCTCTTATTCAGCCTATTTAATAACTGCATGTCTTTTCTGCTATTTTTGTTTATCTTTTAGGAGACTGTTGGTAATCACAGGAATTTTATATATAATAAAAAAATAAAATAAATATATATAATAAAAAACTGAAATGCTGTTAATGCTCTTCCATTTTGTAAAAGAATCAAAGCATTCTCACATTACTCAATTCTTGGCACATAACAAATACATAATATCTTTTCCACTGTGGAAATTCTATTTGAAAAATATTACCTACTTGCTACTGTTCTAACTTTTAGAGCAATTTGTCTCTTGGTTAATGTCTCTTGATTAAAAGAAATCGAACCCCCTAAGAAGAGGCTAATAGAAATCTTCGCTTTGCTCATATTTAAAGAACAACCAGAGAAAAAAAATGATCTTTTACAGAATGTTTAATACTGAAAGTTACTCCCAGCCTATTCCCAAAGTGCTTTTAGCTTCAGTGGACAGTTTTACAGATGACTTTTGCAGGCCTTCCTCTGGGGCTCTGTCAGATCCAGAGGGTTTTGTGACATACCATTTCAAACCCAAATGGTTTAAATACTTAAAATAAACAACATGAAGCAAGTGTTTGAATTCAAGAGCTTAAATATACATCTCGAAACATGTGCTTGGCTCTCTTTTCTGATCCTTATTCTTCAGTGATAAAAATGTGCAAAAAAATGACAATTGTATGTCAGGTGATTCCTCTTAGATATAAAAGGGACTGGAATTTAGTGTTACTTATTTTGATTCTTTTCCTTGAATTTAATCTCGAGATTTCTAGATCTAACCATATATTTTTCTTGAAAGTAATGTCATATGATAAATATATTTTTACATATTTGCAGAGCACGTGTTCAGAAAGAACCTGACTTTTGCTCTGGCCTGGATGTATAGAAGTAGTTTTGTATGCAAGAATCAGCTGTTGAAGCCTACAAGTTATGCAGGTAAGAAATTTTATGAAAGATTGCTTACATTAGGAAAAAAAATTAATTCTGATATCCTTGAAAGATTACGTGTAAGATAAGATGCTGACACAGGACAAATACAAAATTAGATCATTTTTAATGCTCAAATCTATCATCACAGTATTCTTTACATCATCCTGTGACTAGCATAGCCCCCAAAAGACTTTTAAAAAGTAATTAAAACTCCAATCTGTTCATATTAGGTCTTCTGTAGCAAGGTGATACATTTTGTAGCTCTGGGAGTACTCCCTTCACTGATCTTAACACTGCAGAACTCCATAGAATATATGCTGTCTCATGCCTTTTTTTTTTAACATTTCCAATTAGATACAGAGTCTTTACCTAAGGAATGTGACTTGGAAATAAAAAGTTTGCTGAACATGCACTTTTGCACGGTTAGAAAAAAAAAGTGCCAAAAACTTTACAATTAATTTAATTGATTAATTTAATACCTTATAAGAATGCATATACCAGTGTGTTTTGACCTGTGAGTACAATATTCAACACTGCCTGTTCAGTCCTCCTAGAAAGGAACATTCTTGTTATTGTGGTGTTTATTTGGCATCAGAAGTTCTGAGTTTCAGCTGTAACAGCAAGTCCACTTTGTGACCTGTAGGACATGACTTGACCTGTAAGGCTTTTCTTGCCTGAAAAATGAGACACAGTCCTTTAGCAGAATGAAGAGCATTTGCTTGGAGATTAAACTTTAATATAAAAGGGGGGGGTGAAGCCACCCAGTTAGTTTCTTTCCTATGTCACCCAGTATTTTGGAGGCTATTTAAGGATCTCAGTAGCCCCTGTCAGAGGGACGAAGTGACACCATCTATTATTTCCTTTAAGCTCGTCGATGGAGTCAGGAGTCCATTTAACACAAAGCAGTGACAGTGCTGTCCCACACACAGCTACTGAAATAAATGTTACCAGCGCTGCACATGTCAACCTGATGATATATTGGGCTGAAATACCCAGGCACAAACAAACCGTGTTTACGGGGGTGTGTTCTGCCTCCTCCTTCAAGAACTGGAAAACTGCAGGCTCCAGGGGAAGCTGTCACCCAGCAGGAATAAACTGTGCCCAGGAGATCCCTGGAGATCTCTCACGCTCACCCAGAGGGGCAGGGAGAGGAGCCACACAGCATTCCCAAGGGACTGGGCCATCCCACCTCCCTCAAAAGCCTCTCAGCAAGAGGAATGCCCACACAAAGACCTTTAGAGTTGGATAAGCACAGAACAGCTGAGAACCCACAATATCTTTTCTAGGTTTAATCATAATTTTATTTTGGGACTGTATGAAAACTTGGGTATTTTGGTACATTTAATTTAAATAAAAGTACTGGACAGATCCATGCATTTGATAAATGACTTGGTGCATGTTTCTAAAATTGATATTCTAACTGAGGTCCACCTGAGCAGTCATTCAAGTCAGCTTGCAAAATGTCTGTCATATTTTCAGAGACACAGATGCTAAATTCTTATGTTAAAAACAAGTTAATTGTACCAAAAGAATGAAGCTCTCGCTCTTAAGCCAAAATATATCCCTCTTCATAATACCATGCAGTTATCAGCATGTCCCTTGGATTTATGACTTATGACATTTGTTTACCAACAGGTGGTTGCATATCTTGCCATTTATATTTTAAGCAGCAGTAAACACAACTAAAAATAATATAAGACAAACAAAATAAAACTCAGTGGTGTTTTTAAAGTGTTTTTAGAGAAAAGCTGTATTTTTAGGCCAGGTCTTCAAGTAGTTCTCACCAGGCCCAGCAACACAGAAGAATACTGCAAGAGCAATAAGGATTTTTAGGGGCATTATGATAGTGTAAAGGAAACACATCTGCCCCCAAAAGTCCCTCATTTTCCCTGCGGTTCAGAGCCATGCAGGAAGTGGTGAATGCTGTGGAACATCAAAAATGAAACTACAAAGAAAAGATTTTTAAGTTAGAACAACTTTCCAACAATACCTCAGGATTTCATCATTTTCTGTTAGTTCACTACACAGGAAAATTGTAGTTTTTCAAACAGCCTCTAAGTCATTGCTCTGAATGTATAAAATGGTCCTGTCCATTCAACAAAGTGAATTCTTAGGCAACACTCTAAGAAATACTGTTGGTATTGGGAAGTGCAAAACATTTTGCAGGAAGCCCAGACAATACAGGACAATTTTTCTTCTTTCAGCTCTCCAAAAGCAAAAAATAAAACAGAATAATCATCATTAGCCATTGACCTGCATTTCTCATTTTTAAGGATACTTCAGTGACAGAGTGAACATAAGTTTATAGAAGAAAATGATACATAATAGAATCATATAACAACTTTCATTTTAAAGAATTTAAAGATATTTTCCAACTCCCTAGGCAGTTTTCTATACATACAGAAAGATCACTCAGAGTAAAAATACAAAGAGGAATGCAATTTAGGAAAGACTAAATACTAGATATTTCTAAATATCCTTAGTAAAACAGGTAGCACATTTGAACTCTGAGTTATGCCTATTCAATTGACATGGCCAATGAAAAGTTACCATTTTAAAATAATCCACATTGAATAGCACCTAACAGGCATAATCTTCACGGATTCTTGTACCATAAGGTATAAAATATATCACTGAAAAAAAGCAATGCCCAATTCCTCATATATTATTTAATATGATGGGCTCTGTGTTCGTGTTAACATATAATAAAAAATTAACCCAATTCTTTCCTCAGGTTCCAGAAATTTTAACGTGATCTCACTTGCATTTTTTATGGATGCAGGTCCAGTGAATTCAGTGGAGATCCTTCTGACTGACAGCAGCATCCAGGCACCTACTGACTGACAGAGCTGTGTGCAGTTTGGGTGATTTGAAATAGGCCTTTGATTACAAAAGAAAGCTTTAATACAAACAGCAGCAGCATCAAAGCAAAAATCTGGATTTTGCTGACCTTAATTGGCATTTTAACAGTAGCAATCCATAACAAATAGAAATGCCCCTTCAGTGCAATTACTGCATTCACTTATTTTTCTTGACACATGGGGGCCAATCCTGAAACATCCCGAATGGATTTTTCTCAGCCTTTCCTAAAGCCCTTCATATGGGCCTTGTTGTAGATGACAGAACACATTTTGTCCTTTGTGTGTGTGTGTTTTGTTTTAATTCTTATCCTGACCTACAAACAAAAGAAAAGTTTTACTTATAAAAATCAGTGTTTAGAGACTATTTTATATCGGTTCCTATAGAAAGGCCATGATTTCAGTAAAAGGATTCGGTCTGTCTGACTGAAGCTTAGATACTTTAAACAGCAAAAATGCATCAATACTACTTTACACTGGTGAATTGTAGTCTCCTTCATTAACAGCTAAATTAAAATATTACAGCAGTATTAACTGAAAGATCAAAATAGTTTTGTTTAAAGATTTTCACGTGCATCCACAGTGTAAGTAATTGGTATATTAGGAAATCAGATAGAATTGATGTATCATTTTTAAGACTTTTGAGCTCAGCTAAGAGCAAGTATGCTCCAAAGGAAAAGAAAAAAAACTCTGGAGCCTGCCTGTAGAGAATCCTGATTCCAATGTAAAAAATAAAATGTTGGTAACTGAAGAGCTTTATATCCAGCAGGGAGTGAGAGACCAGGGGTAACCTTCTGATGCCAACTGCTGACATGTAGTCCTGTCAGCTGGCTCACAAAGCAAGTCACCTCAGTAATACATGTTAGTCCTGCTTCTATTATCTTTATTTACTCTGTGGATGTTAGAGAAAGGTCCTGAAAAAAATCCACAAGCTGAATAAGGCCTATCTGCTCACACAACACCTAAAGAAACCTCAGAAACAGGAATTACTTGGGCATTTTGACAACAGGTAAAACACCTGATCCTTTGTTTGTTTTTTCCATGTTTATATCCTTTACCAAATTCCCTCCACATCTGCATTGTTTGCATATGGCATTGCAGCAAGACATCAGTGCATTTATTAACTGATATGCTGTGAAAACTGGGCAAATGATGCTTTCAATTCAGTAATTTCACCAGAAGCTTCAAGCCACGTGGTCTGAAGTGGATTTGACATTTCATGTCATACAACTACTTTCCTACCACTTCTTTCACTACAGGTGCAGCTACCAGGTGACAGCAGTGTTTTTCCACTAACATTTTAAAGCCATTTTAAAAAATCCGTTGTTTTTTTTTTTTTGCTTCATAACCTATGAAATATGATTTTTTTGGCAAATAAAAAATGATACTTTGAGTGATGTCTTTCAAAATTATGCCTGAACACACAGCTGTATGTTCACATAGATTTTCTTTGTGGTGTGAGGTCCAGGTTTTACACAGGCAAGCAGTGCTGGTGGCTGACACTGCAGCAGGGAAAAAAGGACAAGGCACAATTTAAAAATCGGCCCTTGGGTGTCTGTGCTCTTGCCCTGGAAAAAACTCTGGATGGCTTCTGAGGAAGGGGTGACTGATTTTGTAGCCTTTACTAAGGCAAAATTTTTAGTTGTTCCAGGTCATGAGTTTCCAAACTTGAGGTCGTTACCTCTCTCTCTCTTTTTCTATGGCTGGATCAGAGGGGAGTCACAAAACTTTTCTGTTGCAACACGAGGTCAGGAGATGTCAAAGGTTGAGGCTCTGCTTCAGAAAATGCAGGCCACAAACCAATCCCCAGCCATGCCACTGGATTCTGGTGGAGATCCTGATCTTTTCACTGCTTTCAATAAAATTTCAAAAGTAAACAGATTAGGCCATTTGATAATCCTCTGCTGATTCAGTGTGTTTGTAAGCTGGGTTTTTTTTTAAAAGGTTTGCTTAAAAATGCAGAAAAGTCATTCTAAAAATGTAGTTTTAAATTTATTTTAAATAGAAAGAGAGCTAGTAGGACTTTCAATTTTATAAATTATAAATGCAATAAATAATTGGGCCTGATATTTCTAAACATTATTTTTTCAATAATTCATGACATTTTTTTACCTCAAGAAAAATTAATTTTTATTACAAACACACCATCTACTTTTTATCTGCTGTCAATTTCTTTTTTTCATAACAAATAGCAAGATAGACTGATCCCAGGTATTTAATTATTAATGCCCTGGATACACAGTGCACTTCAGGAGTCTCAGCTCTGAGGCCACCACCCCAAGCTGCACGCAAACCTGGGGGGAAAAACCAGAGTGAAGGAAAGAGAGCCAATTTTTAAAACACAGATGTTTAGGGCATCTATCACTGTTTCGTCTAATCATCATCAATTTGAATAACACATAGAAAATAAACATACTTTTAAAGTTTAAAATACATGCATGATATCCACAGTAGGAGAAAATTATCTGTTTTACTGCACACCAGAGACAAACAGGAGCTGCTTCTGTAAGCTCAGGAAAGGGAAAAAATGTGAATAAAAATGTTGTATGAGGAAGGCCTAGAGAAGTGTAACTGTGTTCTTTAACACTGCTCATTAATCATTCAAAGAGTGTATTAATTCTAGAGCTGGGTTATTGGGGCTAGGAGGAATGCCTGTTAATTTTATATATCATCAATAGAGAATCAAACAGAACCCATTTTAAAAAATAATCTAAAAATAGCTGATCAGCAAAGTGTGTTACTTAAAGCACATCTTACTGAAAGTAACTGTGCAAAATTACATGTTTTAATTTAAGATCTTCAAAGTAACAGTTGGTAAGAAGCAACTGCTGTATTTCAGCTGATCTTTGCTGCTGTTCAGGTATGTAGGTTTGTTTCTCTTTTCCCTTAAAGATCCTCACATTGATGCACTTTCTAATCTCTGATTCTCTGCTCTTATGTTCTCAGAATCCTAGTGAAGAGACCAGGGGAGTTAAACCAATACAGATCTGACAACCTGTAAGACTGGACAGGTCTGGAATGTATTCACAAACTAAGTACTATAATTCAAAAATGAAAAATTTCTACAGTTAAGTTCATAGCTTAATTGGCTCATGAAAATTTAACCTTTCATAAATGCTGCCTTTGAACAGCATTATTTCATGCAGAACAGTAGCTAAAAGGCATATTAGCAGCACAATTCTGACCTAAGCTCCTCCAAATCAGATTTTGTTCTTAAACAAGTGAGGAATTTGTTGCACTAAGGTTTGGATATGTCCTATTTCACTTGTGTAGAGACTGTATTGCTATAAAATGTAAAATGTCAGAATTCTACAGAAAAATCTTGGTAATTCATCCTGATATCCATTTGCATAAATGTATAGATCCTGCACATAGTCATGTAGAACAACTTTACTTGAACAGTGTATCACTGGGTAACTTCAGCTGAATTTGCAGGCCTTTTTGAAATATTCAAATTGGTTCAGTCTGAATAGGTCAGCACTTAAAATTAATCTGACTGCAGTGACAATGTGACCACAATGTGAATGTCTAGATGTTTAATGTGTAACTTAAGGAGGTGATTAGCTGGCATAAAATGTCAAAACTATGACAGACACGTTTACACCAACTGAGAGGATGCTCCTGTGTGTATTCTTTGTGCATATACTGCATATATGAACCATTGTAGAAATTACACTGTGTGAGTGTCATGTGTTTCTTTGAGTGTTAAACATCTGTGCAGTATATTTGGAACCATAGAAAGTCCACTGTATCTACTGTCATTTTCAACACGTCCTAGAATCCCATGAGGAAAGTACAGCTATGTAATTATTGAGTAAAAATTATACTTAAATTCTTTAGGACATCGATACTAAAATGTAAATAATAACATGAACTTAAACAGCTCTACCAAGCTCAGGTTTACAGTGCCTTACTCATAAAAATATATATCCTATGGCTTTTACCAGTACAAAAATTAGTAGTCTTTAAATTGATCCATAGATACAGACTGTACACATGGAGACACACAAACAGACACACATAAAGAAGCAGCTGGTTGAAGAGTTATGTTAAAACTGAATACTCTGTGAGCAAAAAAAATGAGAAAGGGATTGACAATACAAATGTTACCAGTGCTTATATGTTTTCAAGGTTTAAACTGCCTCTCTTTTCTAGGGACTTCCTTTTCTCCCAATTCACCTGTACTGAGTGACCACTCTTTGAAAGATAACTTTTTCTTCATCTTTTGCTGGCTTTTTAAGAGAAAAACACCACCAACAGCTAGAAAGCTTTTATGTTTAACTTTTGAAATGATAATATTTTCTATCCACTTTTTATCGCTAAAGACAACATTGAAGTTAGAACACGATTATTTATTTAGAGTGTAGCAGCCTTTTACTAAGTGCAGCAGTAGTTTACTACTAAGTTTAATGTCCAGTGTAAGAGCCATAATGTGCAGTTTTCTGTTGCAGAACAAAGTGACCACCAAAAGCGGGACTTTGTGGGCCAGTTGGATAAAACATAAGCTCATCTCGCCCCCAAAACCCCGACTCTGGAACCACAACCTTCCAAGATTCAATTTGTAAGTAAAGTATCTTTGTAAGATATGCCCAATCAACTGAGTCATTGCTTACAGAGTGGGTAATTTTCAGACTAATAAAAAGAGAATATTGCAGCCAAGTCACAATACACACTCCTTCATTTTCTGGACAGCGGGAATTACTAAGAGATACTATTTGTTTTTATTCATATTTTATGATTTATTTATCAGGCAGGTAAGAAGTACCTCCTCTAAGTGTCTATAAAATGACATGGAACTCCCCAGAATAACAGTTATTTATTAGACCCAGCACTCAAACTATCTATTAAGACTTCTTCTCAAAGTGGGTAACAAATTACTGTGTATCTCTTCCACTGTGTCAGACTAAAGTTGACACATTATAGAGAAATGTCTGTCAATAGTCTAAATTTCTTATTTGTATGATAAACTAGAAAATATTTTCACTTTACCTGAAACAAGTCTTTTCCCATTAATAATGATAGTTTCAAGTATTCAGCTGTGTGTCTACCACCCTCAGTATGATGTTTCTTAAGAACTTCTTTCCAAGGTGAGAGGAAACAGATTCATGGACAAAAGGAATGTGTTTTCTAAATCCTCACTTTATAATTCCAACAGAACTTTTAAATAAAATCCAAGTTTAAAAGCATTATAGTTTACACTTGGATGGCTGAAGTAGGTAAATGCTGTCAGTTACTTTAAAAGAAACTAATTACTGTGCTTGAAAAGCCACTATTACATTCACTCTGCTTTTGATAATCAAAACACAGAGCCGAAGAATGCTGTCCTAGCTGAACCGCTGCATAATCAGCAAACACACCTTGACAGGAAAACACAGAGAAGTTGATGGATATTCTGGCTAAGTAGAAATGTTTAAATAATTCCTCTTTCTACAGGCCACACATTTTAACCGACTAATTTGATTTCGGTGGCTTCGCTGGCCACGATTCCACACGAGCCGCTCAGACGGTTCGCATCGACACCGCGCGTTTCTAGTTGTTCGTGCGGGGCGAAAGTCGCCCCGGGAGCCACCCGGAGGCGGCGGGCCGGGGCCGGGGCCGGGGCCGGACCCCGCGGGGAGCGAACACACCTGTAGCTCCCGAGGGTGCGGGGCACGGGCGAACCGCCCCTTCCCGCGGGGCGCGGCGGGCCCGGCCCCCTCCGCGGCCTGCGGCAGGTGGGACTCGGGGCCGCGCCGGGAGCCGCCCGGGGATGCGCTCCCGGGGGTTCGCTCCCGGGGATGCGCTCCCGGGGATGCGCGGGGGATGCACCGGGATGCGCGGCCCCGCGCCGCCCCCGCCCCCCGGGGCGCCTTTCCGCGGCCGCGCTGGCTCGGCCGCGCCCGCCCCGGCGCGGAGCCGCCCCATCCCCGGCAGGGCGCGGCCCCGGTGCCCGCGGCGGGAGCGGGCGCGGGGCGGCGGCCGCACCTGCGGCCTCGGCGGGGCCGTGCGGGGGCCGCGCTGCTCCCGCGGGAGGGCGCGGGGCGGGGGCGCGGAGGGGCAGCGCGACTCACCGCTTGTCAGTGCCCCCGGCGGGGCCCCCCCGGCCGGGGATGGATCCACGCCCGCAGCGAGCGGGGATCCCGGGCACGGCGAGCCGCTCGCCGGGCAGGTCCGCGTTCTTGAAAGGAGACAGCCCCTCCGGTCCTCGCTCCGAGCCGGCTCCTTCCGTTGGCAAAATCCTGACTCATTACATAAAAAGATCACCCTGCCAGGCGCCCTGAAACATTTCTTCATCACGGTCACGCCACAAGCTAAACAAGAGGCCACATCGAGGGGAGGGGGGAGAGGGGGAAGCGGAGGAGAAAAAAAAAAATCCAGAGGTTTTTTTTCTCCTTAAGATCCTCTTCCTTGAAAAAGGGAGATTTAAAAAAAAAAAAAAAAAAAAAAGAGAGAGAGAAAAAAGCCACAACAAAAAACCAACAAAGTGAAGGGAAAAAAAAAAAATAAGAGCAGCCACCGGGAAAAAAACTAGAGAAGATTCACTCATTGTTGCCACAAAGACACCTCTCCCCTTCCCACTCCCTCTCCATGCTCGTTCCTCCAACAGTGCTACAAAGACGTGCAGTCTGCGCCGGGAGTTGTGAGCCCGAGCCGTGAGCTCCTCAACTCCGCGGGGGCCGTGCCAGGAGCCCCGGGGCGCACAGTCCTCCGAGAGGAGGTGTGGTGAGTCCAAGACCGTCCGAAAATTATTTTTTTTCCTAGAAACTACCACCAAATATAGTAACAGGGAAGGGGTATTCCTAGAAATTCGGGAGACGTCAGAAAGGGAAGATTTGTGAAATTCAGCTTCACTTCCTGCAGAGGGCTCCTAGCACAGGGAAAAAAAAAAAAAGGCAATAAAGTGCTTTTCATGCTTCTCTGATCAGATAATGGTTAAAAAAAAGAATGGTAAAACACTTAACTCGCATTTCTCCGATACGATCTAGGAGTTTCGTATGGGAAGAAAGCTAATCAGTAACCCCCTTTCCTCATTTTCTACTAATGTTTATAGATGCCTATCTCCTGTATTTATTTTCCCCACGTTCTCATATCAGACCTATGCACGCAGCAAATAAAAGCAATGTGCATGTGGGTGAAAAATGGGCCAAATGATAACCCTCCCACGGATCACAGGAACACTAATGAGTGTTTGTGTGTTATTTTAAACAGGCTTTGCCGTTTGCATCTTTCATGCCACGCTGATGTGAATAATTCATGTCCCCACTGTAGATGTGTGCAATATTGTTACCCGCATGAATGGGAATTCGGAGGTTGCCTTTTATTTAAGGGCCCCAATACTGAGAACTGCTGAGCACTGTCAGTCCCCATGGACTTAATGGTATGTCAGGTTGTTAATTAATTCAGTTCAGCCATTCACAGGATCAGGCCCTGCCCAACAAATGCAGACCTGCACACTGTCAGGAGCTGCTATTATTCCTCATGTCTCCTGAATCTGTGTTTGCTTTGTGCTTGTGTCTAACACCCAGTCCTTCTTGAGTCATATCTTTTAAAAAACCACTATTCTGATACATTTCACAGGAAGCAGAACTGAATGTTTGCAAAGCAGAGCTGGATGAAGATGTTATTATATTCAATTAATTATATAAAGATGTCAATGCATTTGTAATAAAGGATTATTTATCCAGGGATAGCAAAGGTTGCTATAAAAACCCCAAAGCCAGCTTTTGGGGGAAGATAATAGGTTTCAGTGTTTGCAACTCTTGCAGGTTAATTGAATTTCTGTAATGAGATTCCCCTCAGCCACATGAAATCCTTGGGTTTGTTCTTTGCATTTCATTATGACTTGCAGAGTCTTCTCTGCCCCCAAATCAAATGCAATAAAACCACCTGAGTCTGGCTTTACTTCAGTGTTTTATGAACACTCACATTTAATCAAAACTTAGTTAGAAACACCTTGTCTGTCTGCAGTTTTGAAGGGGAATTAGCAGAGTTCACCTGACAATCCTGAGTGTGCTTTGACTCCTAAGTATGTTCTAACTGTTATTGCAGTGCTCGGTAAACAACTGCGCCGAAACACAGACCCAGCTTTCAGAGGGGTGCACCCACAGTGTTCCGTTAGCAGGAATGCCTGGTTACAAGTAGATTTACTTGGAGTAATCTCTTGGAATTCAAAACTGCTCTAGTTAATTGCAAAAAGGCCTTTTTAATCTGGCTGGTTTACTTACGGCACGTTGCTCCACTCTGCCTGTCACTCTCATTTCCTGAGTGAAAAAGTGAATGGCAGCTTCAAGTTCAGGATCTTTTAATCATTAAAAGAAATGGATGTGCTGTCCTCTGTTGGTCATACTGGTTGTCACATGTAAAATTCAATTAAAAGGCAGCAAGAGGTTCTGTTACAACAACGGAAAACACAAAACTAAATTAAATTTGCTTCGTCTGCTGCTTTCACCAGTGCAACTGCACAGTGCGAGGGGTTTTTTTAAATGATGCAATGATAGAAGCTGGACTGTGGAGAGGACTCATTTCACACGACTCTATACTACAGTCTCTGCCCTGTGTTTGTCCTGCTGCTGTTGTCCCCGCTGTGCCCGGTGTGCTGGGTGCCCAGGGAGCTGGGGGTGCCCAGGGAGCTGGGGGCTCCCCCGGGTGCCAGGGCTGCAGGGGGGCTGCAGTGCTGCCAAACACGTGGCGAGAGGAAGTTTCTAGTTTCCATTTCACATCCCGTGGTGTGGGGACAGGGCCCTGTGTGCCAGTGGTGATAGTCTGTGCTCATCACATGTGGTGACTCCCAGCATGTGATGTGGTGGCAGCTGAGCAGCTCCTGGGGCACCCCAGCCATGGCAACTCGGGCTGTGCTGGGTGTGCCTGATGCAAATTCCCACTTTACTGCTCCTGGGGTCCTTCTGTGAGTCCTGATGTGAGGACTGCTCTGCTCTGGACCCTGTTGGTGAGCTGTGGTGTGTCCCCTCTGGGTCCTCAATTCAAGAAGAAGATGTAGCAGCTGGAGAGGATCTGGGGGACTGTAGCAAGGGTGATTAGAGGTGTAGAAAACCTGAGCTAAAAGGAGAGATTTTAAAATCTGGGCATCGTGTTGTCTAGAAAGGAGAAAGATGAAGGCAAATATAGTAACACTTTCAAAAAGGTTTACCATCATGTAAATGAATGTGTCATGGCAGTAAACCTATGTGATATATCAATTATTTCTACCTCTTAACTGCTGCTGGAGTTATAATTTCTGGGCTGCACTAGTTTCTCTTAAGATGTGACTTCACAGATAGTTTTCTAACTGCAAAATTATTTTCATGTAAATAACCACAAGACATATCTTAAGATGTTACTTAGCAACGTTGTTATCATGCTAATAGTTTAGCTATGTTATTCAAAAAAATGTAAGTTCTGTCTGCAGACTATGGAAAAACAGGCTCTGTTACCTGATTTCTGTGTGTCATCTAACACAGACTCACAGGCCTCAAATTGGTAAGAGGATGAGACACAGCCAGAGCTCTCCTACATACCTGGCTTAGCCCTATGAATATATTTCTAAAAAACAAGGAAGAATTCATGAAAGCTTTACTCATCATGGTCAGGGTGGCTCCTCTCCACTACCCTCCCTGTGAGTCTCCCTGAGGCTGTAGTCAATGGCAAGCAATATTTATCAGATCTGGGTTTTGTCCTTGACTCTGATTTAAATTTTTGCATTTAAAAACCTCTCGTGAAAGCAGTTTCGGGGACATGGCTGTTCCTCACTGTCCTTTATATCCATAAGTAAAACCTTCTAAGAAAACAGAAATCAACTTAGAATATTTTGGGTTGTGGTCTTGCATGTGCTTTGTGCTGAAACTGTCACTGCACAAAATCAATAATTTACATCTTTCTTCTCTGTGGGGAGATTGGGCAGTGTTGTTATGGATTTCATACTAGAAATTTCAGGTTCAAAATGAGCTGCAAGGTAAGCACTGTGATTTCCTCTCTGCTGGTGCTTCGTCAAAGTTATGTCAAATTTACCAATGAGCAATTCTGGAGACTTGTAAATACTGACAGTAAGCTAAGTGCAAAAAATACAAACTTTAATTACACTTAATTAATACAGTCAGATAATATTTGGAACACTAAATCTGGGGGGGGAAGGAGCTTTAGGTGTGCTGTGAGACAGCGGAACAAGTTGCCCAGAGATGGCTGTCCCACCCCTGGAAGTGTTGAAGGCCCGGCTGGATGAGGCTCTGAGCAATCTGGTTTAGTGGAAGGTGTCCCTGCCCATGGCAGGTGGGTGGAATGAGATTGTCTTTAAGGTCCCTTCCAACCCAAACCATTCTTTAATTCTATAACTGGTTACAATCCTTCTTTAAATCAAAATACAGCTTGAATGATGATTTTGACTTGCCAACAGAATTTACACGTTTGGTTTTTAACAGATTTTACAAAATCCACTGTAAATAGTTAATGACAGTTATTTCTGTTCGTGCAATCATACAATTTTGATTCTTGACAACAGCGGTGCAGAATACGAGAGGAAGACTTGTCAGGAAGAAAACAAAATCGACCGTGTGGACACAGCAGTGAGTGAAATTTCAAATGGTAAGTAAGTATCAAACACAAATCAATAAAGATTTCCTTCAATTAGTAATAATGTAATTACTTACACTGTTAGGGTGGGTTTAAGTGCTGTCAGCCCTTAACTGTGTGTGTGGGTTTGGTGTCTGGTCCTGTCACTGTCTCTGGGTTGGACCTCTTGATCCTGCAGGATCAGCTGTGCTTGGAGCACCCAGCGTTTGCTTCTGCTTGGAGAAGGTGACACTGCTGGGCTCTTGGAGTGTAACCAGGGCGCCCTTCCCTTACCCATTTGCAGTGTCACAGGGAGTTTCTCTGTTAAAAAAAATGCAAAATGTAAAGTGAACACTAACCAGATTGCAAATAGTCCTTCTAAGTGGTTGGTGATACAGATGAAGACAACCTCATGGTTTACTAATCAGAAGGCAGAACAAAATTAATAAATAATTAAATGAATTCCATGGTTGCGGGGTGGGGGCGGACCAATGAAAAGAACGTGGAATTACAGGATGATCTCGGTCGCTGCATTTCAAACTGTCTTCTACTTTTGCTTCTTCAGGCTAAGCTGAGCGGAGCTCTTGAAAAAACAGGATTGGACCGCAGGAAAAAACGAAGACAAACGTTTCTGTCGCTGCAAACGCCAGGAGGGAGGGTGCGAATGAGGCAGGAGGGGCACGACATTGCTCGTGTCCCTTTGTTGGAGCCGCAGCAGCCGGTGCAGCGGGGAACGCGCCCGGGGGCGGACCGGCCGCTGCCGGGAGCGCTCCCGGCCCGATCCCGCGGCTCCGCCTCCCCCTAAAAATGATGGGAAAGCTCCGGCCCGCGCGGACCCGCCAAGGCACGGACGGGGTTCGAACCCGTGATCTTCGGTTTACGAGACCGACGCCTTACCACTTGGCCACCGCGCCTGCGTTAAGGGCTCCTCCCGACGCCCTTCTATCGCTGGCGCCACTCCCGCGCGCCCGCCCCCGCCCCGCCCCGGCGCCGGCACCTGAGGCGCTGAGGGGGCGGAACGTGTGGGAGGGACCGGGAGCGGAGTGTAGGCGCGATACGCTCTCGCTGTTTCTCCCTCTTTCTCCTTTTTTTTTCTCCGTTTTTCTCCCTCTTTCTCCCTCTGTCCTTGTCGCTGTCCCCGGGAGCTGCGGGGCCGTTCCTGAGGGTACCGCCCTCTGCCCGTCCCGCTCGCCCTCAGCGGCCCCGGGGCCCTGAGGGCGCCGTGCCCGGAGATGGCACCCGAGCGGTGCAGCCGCTTCGGACCGGTCAGGACACCGGAGAGAGGGGACAAAGCGGGACTGAAACTTTCCTCCCCCGAGACGAGAAGCAGAAATGCGAAACGTTGGGATAATTAAATGGTAAATGCTAACTTAAACGCACTCGCTAGCTGGTAGCTGTTCCCTCCAAAAACTCACTGTTTGGAAACAAAAAAGATACTAAAATACATTTTTTTTTCTAGATTTCGTCACCTAGATTTTTACAAGTGTGACCCGAAAGCAAAGCTTTTAGTTTTCAATTAATGTTTGTGGTTTTTTTCCGTGTGTGTCTTTTTTTTTCTTTTTTTTTTCTTTTTTTTTTTTTTAATGTTACTTTAATGGAGATCCCTTTAAATTCTCCATGAAACTTCTGCTGAACACCCAAGTTTTATATCCCTTTTGCTTTTGGTTTGCGTTTTTTTGTGGAAGAAGCATGTGAATGTATTAGAGGTGCCTTTGTAAAGGTCGAGATCGGAGTTGCTAATTTGGTGGTCCTGTAAAGCAGGTGCATTAAAAAATTGATGCAGAACCAGAATAGTTCTGTTTGAAAGAGACCTTCAAAGGTCATCTAGCTGAACCACCCTGTAATTAGCAGGGAAATACTTCTGTGTCCTCTTGGGATGTTCTTTGAACTCTCATCAGGGAAACTCATGCCTGATAGCTTGAGTGCATGAACAAATTTTCATGCTTTAAAAGTTATCATTTGTCAGCTTCTCTGTGATAACTCTATGCTGCCTGTGTTTGAGCAAACAGAGCAATTTGAATTAGTTGCACCTGCAGTGAAAGGTGTCACATTACATTACTGGATAGTCAGCCCGTGTCAAGCGCGTTTGCTCCTACCGTGGAATAGCTGTCCCAAAGGAGATGAGTCCTATTTTCCAGTCCCTACAGACATGACTGATGGGCTGGCCAAGTAACTTGCCATCACAGTTCCTGTGCAGCTCACATATATTTGATTTATTCATGCTTTTGGATCTTTGTGAGGTGAGAGGTAATTTTGTGGTGGGAGAAGCAAAGGGGGCTGTTTGAATTGTTTGTGGAATTCATATGAGTTTTATCTCTTCAAATACACTACATTTTTAATAAATGCATTTGGTTGGCATCAGAAATAGTATTTAATGGCAAAAAAACTTCTATTGATCAAGTTGTTCCTTAACTGTATGGGGAGATGGAAACTTCAATTTGAAATCATAAGGATCTTCTGTGTAGATTAAGTAGATTAAGAGGAAGTACTTGATTTGGTTTACAAAATTTGGCTAATCCCTAAATTCCTCACAGTGCCTGGAAAAATTGTTTCTATCTGTCTAAACAAACTGCTGTTTAATGGTGAACTGATTTATCACAACAATAATTTATATAACTAAAAATGCAATTTTGATTTAAAAAACATGTAATTGCCCTTCTACTGTCTGAATACTTTTGTTTGGAAGTGTCTTTTATGCTGGTCATTACCCTTGTTTGAGCTCCATGGGAAAGCCCTTCCTCCTCATGCTGAATTCTCCTCATGCTGAATCCTCCTCATGCAGTGTTCTCTTCTGACACAACCTTTTTTCAAACAAAACATGACCTTCCTAAAGGAAAGTCTTTGAAAGACTCCATTGCTGAAAGATAACATCAGAGATTTTGTTGGAAGGAGAAAATAATCACCTGGTTTTTTTCCTTCCTCCCCTAAGCCTCACTCATATGAGGTGGAGGTGTTGCTTTAGGAGAGTCTTTGATGTCTGTTTTCATGTACAAAACCAAGCCTTTTGACATATCCCCCAACTCTTCTGAGGAGATCCTGGGGAATAATCGTATTTATGTAGATTTGGTGCAGCTGAGTTTATAAAGATTTGTTATGGGATAGCTGGAATGCTCCTCAGTTAGCAATTACTTGAGCTTACACTTTCTCCTGGCTTTATGAAAGAACATTTCTGTTCACCATCTTAACTTTTAATCCACAGCAGTTGTCTCGGAGGGGCTCAAGAATGATGCAGTGCTATGGTGGAGTGGCCTCGCAGTCCTTCATCAGCAGGGAAGGCTGGAGACGCTTCTTCAGGTAATTTTTTACATGAAGGGAAGCATTTCTTAGAGTTGTTACATTTTTGGACTAACACTTAAAGGCAAAAAAAACAAACCTTAGCTGTTGGGTCTCAGATGCTCTAATTGGTTATTTTGATTTTGGATTAGGAAGGTCTCAGTAGAAAGAAACATCTCTGACTTGAGACAGTACAAATACTCTAAGAAATATATCACTGGCAACATTTGTACAATACACAGCAAGCCAACAGGCAGCAGTAAAGAGCATTTCATGTGGTACAGAGTAAAGACAAATGTGAGGATGGCCATCTGTAGAACATGTTTAATAAACTGGGGTTTTATTGAAAAGCAGGGTTTAGCCTGTGGGAGAAATTCACTCAGCATAATCTCAAGTTTTATCAGACCTTGTTTTGTGTTTACTAATAGGAACACAGTTTGGGAGGGAGAGTTTTGTGTTTGTATTTCTTTGTAAAACAATCAAAACCCCAGATTGCCAGTTGGCACCAAAACAAGTGCTTTACCTCTGTTATACTCCAGTTGGAATTTCTGTAATGCACAAATGCACAGTCCAGAAGTGCTGCACTTGTTTTGCAAGATTTGTGTTCAGTGTGTGATGGCTGAAGGTAAGTTAGTGGCATATATAGCCTACAAACTTTTACACTGGAGAAAAGGTATTTTATGAAATGTACAGGGCATATTAGTAATTTTTAATTTGTGCAGCTTTACTGCTTTATGGGTTTTTAATATTTGGCCGAGTTCTGATGTCATCAGTGCAGAACAGACTCTGAGGAAAGGGTGGGTGATCAGCACAGGGACTGCCCTCACAAGGGGAAGAAAATATTGAAATGGAGCAGCTTCATCATGAAAAGAAGCTTGTGCAAACAGCTCACAGCTCATTCCCCTGAGGAAATGCATTGGGGTGTTCTTGAGCACAAGCCCAGCAGAATGCAGATTGCAAATATGAAATCCCACAAACCAGCACATCTTGGAAACCTTGGAAGAATCCAGGAAAGTCGTAAATTGAAGTGCAGGACAAGGGGGAATGGATTCAAACTGGGAGCAGGTTTAGATTAGATATTAGCAGGAAGTTCTTTACTGTGAGGGTGGTGAGATGCTGGAATGAGTTGCCCAGAGAGGTGGACGCCTCATCCCTGGAAGTGTTCAGAGCCAGGCTGGATGGAGCTCTGAGCAACTCGGTCTAGTGGAAGGTGTCCCTGCCCATTGCAGGGGGTTGGAACCACATGAGCTCTAAGGTCCCTTCCAACCCAGGCCATTCTATGAGTCTATGTAATGGTACTGCTTAAAAAAACCAAAGTCCAAGAGTTCAGAAAATCTCTGGTCTTAGAGACTTTGGCTCCAATTTTGAAGAGAAATCATCAAGTTTTTTGAAGTTTGTCTAAGTGCAGATTTCATTCTTTCTCCTTTTTGTGAGAAAGGCACTTGGAACATAGGCCAAATGTTTCAGACTCATAAAAGAATTTTTGTTCGTTAATATTAATGTTATTTTTCACTTTTAAGTAACCACAGACAAATGAACACAGTTTTCCTTTTTTATTTGAGACACTTAGCAAAAATGCTGAAATATCAAACATTTCCTCAGTAGCTACAATATTGCCACTATGTACAAAATATTTGATAAATGTAGTACACATATAAAAATACAGTATGCATTACATATATACAGTACAATGTGCAAAACATATGGCATTCAAACGTATGGAATTGATTTCAGGGGTGCAAACAGCAAATACAAAGGCATCATGGTTTCTTATAGAAAGGCAATACATAAACTGACGCCCTGATTGCCATAATTTGCATTTAGTAAAGTAGTGCTTAAATGAAGAGGGCCCCAGAGACAGGTGTCTGTCTTCTTCTTTTCACAAAATGAGATGCTAAGACATAATTATGAGCGTGAAAATAAGAAGAGGAACAGCTCCTGGGGTTAGCGTTGTTCCTACTGCAAGCAGTTCTGTGAAGGAAATCCTATCTGGAAAAAAGCCTGTGCTATTACTTACTACAAATTTCTCAAACAACAAAAACAAATCTGTACTGTTAAACATCAAAAACAGCTTTGAAAGTATCTACATCCTTGATTTTAAAAAAGTATGGGTAACACTTTTGGGGGTTTAATTTCCTACGCTTCAAAGTACAAAGTGCCTCCTTTGGCAATATAAATGGCAATGCTTTGGTTCCTATTTAAATTTTATATTATTATAATTTATTTTAGGCTGTCTTTTGAATATCTGAGCTGTATTTTTTACAAAAATAATGTGATTATATAGTTATTAACCATTCCCTGCTTTCATTTGAGAATTTGCTCTCATAGCTAGAATGGCTTTTTTTTTTTTTTGGCTAGATTTCTACAAATACATTTATGCACTTTTAACTTAAAAAGTCTTTATATTCAGTATTGGACACTACAGAATGATGTAGGTGTCTCTTTTTTGCACTTTACCTAGCAAACTGGTATAAAAGGAATATTTGAGATTACTTCAGGTTTTAATGGCTGCTCTTTATTGGCCATGTATGTACTATGTGCAACTCAGTTCCACGTATCTCACATAAAATACCATCTGCACTGAGGTCTAGAAGTCATCCAAAGGCAATTTAATAGACCACAATATAAAGGGTTTCAACAGAACATTTGCTGGAGATAAGTGGAAGAGGTTTTTTTTTCCAGTTTTAATAGAGTTTGCTTTAAGTTTATAATACACTGAAGATGCCATCCAAATAATAATAATTGTTTACATCGGTGAGCTTTCCTGTGTTTTGATTACATAATGCCCTTCCAGTTCAATGGATTCTGTGATTGCATTTTCTCTGTCTTGAAAATAGTTCAGCAGCTTGTGCCTGGGTTCCAATTGGGGTGCCTACACTTTTGAGGCATCTGGACGTTTGAGGTTATGTAACAGAAAAGTTTAATACTGACCACTCTGTTTTGATCATCACCACGTTCCCTGAACGTGACTCTTGTTGGTGAATTTAGAAATACCTGGGAGAGAAATGCCAGTATTTAGTGATTCTTCCCAAAAGCTGTGGCCTCAGCTTTTTAAAGGTCAGATTTTGCAAGCCCACATTGCTGGATTACACTCCAAATTTCTGTAGAGAACAACTGCCATAAATTAATTTTATTCTCAGGGAGAACTGCTGTATTTATGACAATGCTTTTGTAACTATTTATAATGTCCAACAGAATTTTGCTGTAAACTTCCTTGCTGTAACTGCTGCTGAATGGCACTAGAAGTGTGTAACAAACACCATTTCTGCATTGAACGCAGGACGTGACTCCTCCTGATTAACATCAGCCTTTAAAACGTGTCTGAGCTCTCTCTGTCTAGAAGTGTAAACACCAACTTTTGATTTTCACACAGATAAAATGGTGTTCTTAATTACTCTGAAGGACCTACCAAGACATTTGATAGAATGCATCCTGTTAGTACACTGCAGCCATTACATGGCAAATGTAGTGCCAGTGCATTCCTTTGCAACTGTTCTCTTAATGAGAAATATTCAGTTCTGTACAGTCAAACTGCACAGTCACGCTTCAATTTCTAAGATGTATTGTATTTGTGCTACAAAAATGTTCATGTAAAACATGCACACACAAAAGTCTAAGCAAAACCTATTTCTGCCATAAACAGGCATATACAACTATGGCAAACATATCACATTTCAGAACAAAGTCTAAAGCAAACCATTTTATATAAGGTTTAATACACAATTCTGAAATGTACAAAAAAGTAATCACACATTCCCTACACTAGAATAGTTGTACTTCAGAAACTAAAATGATCCCTTAATTTTTAAATTTTTTTTTTTTTCAAAGAGTAGAAAGCTACACTGTACTGCTAACAAGACAGCTCAACTGTTTGGGTTTATTTCTGCACATAGATTCCTATGGGTTAGTTAACATTCTACACTGCCAAGAACGATAGTTTGGTAGCAAGATGACTCTGCCAGTTTCAAGCTCTATTTACATGCACATCAAAAATGACAGTACAGTTGCTCTAGGTTAATTTGTCCTCTAAAAATCAATTTACTTGCCTCTTATTTAATCAGAAGGCAGGGTCAAAAAGGGATAATTCTAACCACACAAATGTGGTATGATGTCTGGTGTATCACACATAATAAACTGACAGTACTGCAGAACACTACATTTCATTCAGAGTTGTTCCTACCAGACCCAGAGTCCTTAATTCTTTTTCTCCTAACAGCTGAGGGCACTTAGTATCTCAGAGTATTAGCTCCCAAGAGAGTATGGTAAAAAGGAATGCAAAAAGTTGAATGTGAGTGTTCAGTGTTCTCAAAGAGTCCTAAACCATCAAAGCTTAAGGCAGACAGTCCACGTGTAATACTGTACTCAAGTACTGGAGGCACAGCAAGAAGGAATAAGGAAATATGTCTTTCAACTTGGTGTAATTAAAATCTCCATTGATTGTTTTGCTGTACTTAGTTTCATACTGAAGTAAATCTTGGCCAGTAAAACTAGTGAAGAGATATAATGATTTAAAGTGCTGTAACTGATATGATGCAAAGATATGATATGGGGTTAAACCCTGAATCAGAGACATAATCCACTGTTTTATCTGAAGCCAATGGAATTCTGTAGTAGTAGTAAACCAGACTGCATTGTATCTGGAGATATAAATTTGCAGTTAATTCCACAAACTTTTTGGCAAAAGGATTTTGTTTGATGTTAACTGATTGTGTTTTTTAAAAATGTGATAAAGGTTGCTATAAAGTTAACTGCTACTTTCTGGTTTCAGCATTTCTTTGATACATGTCATTATTCTAAGAAGGAAGCAAAAGCTTCAGGGCATTTGTTCATTCATTCCTACAGAACATTTTTATAGGTTAGTGGGGAAGAAAGAATGATGCAATGAGATCAGTTTTCAGACCAGAAAACATACCACGTTTCCCTGTTTCAGGAAACAGGGGACTGTTTCCTTTTATCTTAGTTTAAGAATTCCCTAGTAAGAAATAATTCCAATTTTGTTTGATTATCAGCCTCCATCATCT